ATTGGTTCTATAACAATTGGTCGAACACAAAAAGGTCGAACACAAAATGGTCGAACACAAAAAGGTCGAAAACCCCTATCCCCTTAAAGAGCGCTTAAATGAGTGAGCGCTTATCGAAAACGGTTAAAATGTACACATGTAGGCCTATGAGTAGCTCGCTTAAGAAGCAGAGCATGGGAATGGGATGGCCTATGGAGATCGGCACGCACGTTATGAACGATTTCAGTGTCGGCTTTTCCCTTATAATGTCAGTGTCGGTCGACTTTTCCCGCATCCAATGTGGATAAACGTCAGTGTCGACTTTTCCCGCATCCAATGTGGATAACGTCAGTGTTGACTTTTTCCGGTATTTAATGTGGAGAACGTCAGTGTTGACTTTTTCCGGTATTTAATGTGGATAACGTCAGTGTTGACTTTTTCCGGTATCCAATGTGGTTAACTTGATCAACTCTTGGTTCGAATACTTGATGGTTGGAAGCAAAAAAGTGTTTTACACATTTGTCGCAGGAAATTTCCTTGTCTTTGGAAATTATTATATACAAACGTCATTCTACTAGTCTATGTCGCTTAGCGTAACTGGCTATGCTTTTACACTCTGCAAGTGCTTGCACTGTGTATTAACTTGGCATTTTATGCGGCGAAGCTGAATCGGCGATTCCTACTTATTTTCAGTACAAACATAACTATTTAGCATGAGCTACTCAGTGTGTGTGTGTCTGAACATATCGAACAGTGGGGAAAACTTTTGAATGCCTCTGAACAGTTCGTCCAGCTCAGAGCTAAAAGCCACTTCTAAAAAACGCATTCTGTGGTATGTAGTTTTGACAATGCTTTTTTTCATTGTTCTAGCTCAGCACACGTTGCTGCCAACATTGCCAAGATCAGTAATTTCAAATCTACGATCCAATTCATTAATCAGGGTATCAATTTCTGACTCATTAGGTCCGGTAACAATAATATCATCAACATACAGAAGAAGAACGATATTTTCCCGTTTAAACAAAAATCGTTCTGATATGCATTTCAATAAGATGATTAGAAATAGTCCGGTACCACTCTAATGGACTTTGTTTCAATCCGTACAACGTTTTCTCCAATTTCAGCAAACCACCACCTTCAAAACCAGGCGGCGGATGGACATAAACCGGTTCATTCAGACTAGCATTAAGAAAGGCAGTCCGTACATCCAGCTAACGAACCTTGAAATTGTAAGTTTTAGCCAAACTTAGAACAATATTAGTCAGACTACGATCTGGAGTCGGTGATGCAGTATCCAGATCAATCCATAGCGTTGACGATAACCGCAAGCATGTTAGGTTGGATTTGTCATTTTCTCGATTTTGAACTTTGAATTCTGAACTGGTCGTGTTAATTTGGAAATTTGTCATTTTTTTGATTTTGAATTCTGAACTGGTCGTGTTAGGTTGGATTTGTCATTTTCACGATTCTCGAAAATTTTCGAAAGAACAACTCTTTTGCTATGCACTAGTGAAATATTTTCGCTTAAATCCTACAAAAAACATGGTTTTAGAAGCTTCGAAAAAACTCTCTCTCCCATAGGCCGTAATGCTTTTTTGAAACTGTCCAATTACTTACTGTGTGTGTATGTATTTTTTATTTAAATGAAATAAAAAGATAAAATGCATTTTGAATGATAAACCATGTTACATATTTAACAAATTTGGAACCGATCTCATTGAATTTATATGAATTTGTATTAGAATAATTGATTCCTTATACAGCTTTTCGTTTTGCGGCCAAGTTTCGTGGAACGTATCTAGGCCGTAAAGCGAGGTATGAGTGAATTCGAACCAAGAGTTGATCAAGTTAACCACATTGGATACCGGAAAAAGTCAACACTGACGTTATTCACATTGGATACCGGAAAAAGTCAACACTGACGTTCTCCACATTAAATACGGGAAAAAGTCAACACTGACGTTATCCACATTAAATATCGGAAAAAGTCAACACTGACGTTATTCACATTGGATACGGGAAAAAGTCAACACTGACGTTTTCCGCATTGATTACGGGAAAAAGTCAACACTGACGTTTCCCACATTGAATAAGGGAAAAGTCGACACTGACATTACGTTAAAATCTTCATAACGTGCGTGCCGATCTCCATAGGCCATCCCATTCCCATGCTCTGCTTCTTAAGCGAGCTACTCATAGGCCTACATGTGTACATTCTAACCGTTTTCAATAAGCGCTCACTCATTTAAGCGCTCTTTAAGGGGATAGGGGTTTTCGACCTTTTTGTGTTCGACCATTTTGTGTTCGACCTTTTTGTGTTCGACCAATTGTTATAGCACCGATAGAATTTTATAGAGATGCGGGAATGCAGAAAATTTATTCAATTTTGACTTTGTTCATGGGGGAAAAAAAATATCCACAAAATGTGGATATATTATTATTGACCATTTTTTTTATTGGCCATTGTGACCATTCATTTTTCATTCAATGGTACAAGATATTAACAAACACATTACATCTCTCAATAGTGTGGTTAATTATTCATATTTCAATTTTCAATGAATTTTGTGACCAGGAAAAAAAAACGAAATAAAATTTTTAGAATTATTACATTGTATCAGCAATGTGGTTATTGTAGTACTTCAGGCGATTACAATACGAAGTGATGATGATGATTATGATGACCAATTTCAAATATAGATTACTACTACTGCTAATAAAATTGATAAAATGGAAAATCACATGAATTTTTAAACATTTATTTACCATTAGTGTACTGTATGTTTTTTTTTCGTTGTTTCATTGTTTGTTTGTGTGTTACAATCAACTTTTTCTGGTGCACAATTTTTTTTTTTATGTGTGTGTAAGTTGTATTTAAAAAGAATATAAAAAAAAGATAATAATAATAAACAAACGATTGAATCAATGAATGATTGTACAACAATTTTGGATGGACAAAATATAATCTCATTATTTTTTTTTTTGTATGATGATAATGACATTAATTTGGTCATCCTCAATGTTTGATGATGACGATGACCATTTCTATTCTTTTATAAATGAAAAGAAATGATAAAAAAAAGAGTTTTTCTCCTCCTTTATCCATTGATTATTGATCTTATCGGATATCATCATCATTATCATCATTAAATAATCAATGTTTATCGCTTGATTTGATATGATAATTTTAAGAATTAATCATTTCGATCGATTCTCATTATTTGCATTATTCATTAGAATGTTTTTTTTTCTGTGTGTGTGTGTGTGTGTGTGTGTTTTTGTTTAATATTCTGGCTACTGTAAATGTAATCCAGAATAACGATGGACAATAATCGTTAAATTTGAAGTAGAAAAAAAAGAAAGGAAAAAAAATAATTCTGGCTACCATTGTAATGAATTAATTAAATTTTTCTTTATTCCACTGAACTTTGACATCCAAACTTTTTTCTTGGTTGCAAAAAAAAAATATTCATAAATATGATGATAATACCATGACCATAACCATTTGAAACTCGTTTTTTTTCACCAATTTATTTTCCAATAAACTAAATTACCGAATAAACAACAACAACAACAACAACAACAACAAAAACAAGTCAAACGATTCAAAATAAACGGAGAAGAAAATTGCACCAGTTTTTTTTTTATTATAACGGATTTTTTTTTTCTTTTTCCACTTTACAGTCAAGTTTTTTTTTCGCCATCACCCTGTTCATCTTATTCATTCATTTTATTCCTCTGGAATAAGATTCGGCATAACAAAAAAACTTTGCTCTCAAAAAAATTTTTTTTTTCTTCTAAATGACAACAACAACAATGATGATGATGATGATGATGAATTTTTCTTCACAATTTCTTAGTTTCTAAGTTTCGTTGTTGTTGTTTGTAGGTTATTTGTGTATGTTGTTGGTTGTTCGTGTATATACAACATACGTACGTGACTTGGAAAACAGATTTATTCCATTCATATATGTTGGATTTAGATTCTCACTCTCATTCTTTCTTTTTGGTTGTATTTTTTTTAGGCCATGATCTTGTTTTGCTTTTTCTGTTGTACATTAAATTAGCCTGAACGTATGATCTTTACACTCATTATACTGTCCGATTATTGCCAGATTCACATTGCTATCATGTTGGAATTTGTCATTACGTAATTGTGTTGCTTCACCATTCAGTGAATAGATTTTTTTGTTTGTTTGTTTTCATTTAATTTAAAAATCGAATGATGATAATCTAGATTTGTCATAAACAAGAAAAAAACTGATGGCTGTTTGCATGTGTGTGTGTGTGTGCGAAATAGATAAGCAAATAAAATTCAATTTAGTTAAAAATTAATGAACAGGATGCCGTAGCTTGATTTTGTGATGATGACATTGAAAATTTTCATTTATTCATTACATTCCGAATCCAATGTACAGAAATCAAATTTTTTTTTTTCTGGTGTCAACTTTTATTTCATATGTTGTGATGATGATAATTACTAGGATTTTTTTTCGCCAACCCAATGTCTCACATTTATTTCCGTCCGAATCATGTTGATCGTGTCGACGAATCATTTTTATTTATCGTTGATGATGATGATGATGATGATCCGATTTACATACCGTTTTTCTTGTTTGATCGACAAAAAAATTGATTTCTTTTTTTTGCTGCTGAAAAATTTTGCTTACCTAAGCGAAAAAAAAATTGAATTTGATACACAGTGAAAAACGAATTTTTTTTTTCATTGCCTGTTCATTGGCATGATAAATTTGATCATTTTAATCATAACGGGGCAAAAAATTTTTTTCGATTATCGATAAAAACAAATGTTTCAAATCTTTACATTATTTGACATTGTTCAAATTAATTCAATGCCAATTGATTTTTATCGAAAATTGATTATCATTTGATTGATTAATTTGTGCATATTTTTTTCTGTTTTTGATTTTTCTTTTTGTTTTTTGCGGAATAATTGATTCTATCAAATCTTTTTCTTTTTTTCAATTCTTTTTATTCCACACATATATTTATATCAACAGGTCATCCAACATTTCCATCGGATGCACGATCGTTGACAAAATTGGAGGAAAAAATTTTGCGTAAAATACGACGTAAAATTCGTAATAAACGTTCAGCACAAAGTTCTAGACAAAGGAAAAAAGAATATCTTGAAGATCTTGAACGAAGATATGCAGAATCAATACAGGTTGCTGAACATTATAAATCTGAATGTTTACGTTTACGTAAAGAAAGAATGAATTATCTTAAACGATTTCATCAGCTTGTAATGGTTAGTTTTTGTGAGTATAAAACAATTGTGTTTGATCTGTTTTGTCTTTATTTTTATTTCTATTAGTTTCGAATTAATGAACAATGTCAACAGCAGCAGCAGCAGCAGCAAAAGCAGCAGCCACAACAAGATCAAAAACAATTGAAAACTACTAATAATAATGATCAACAATTATCATCATCGTTCAATAGCCAATTATTATCACCATCATCATCATCATCAATGGCTGTAGCGGCTACAATTACTGTACAGACAACAACAACAACAACAGCAGCAGCATCGAATAATAATACCGATACAATGCTGATTGATCCATTATTATCACCAGATAATCAGAATTGAACGAAAACAAATTATTTGGCCAAATAAAATTAATGAATCATATCTATCCATCATCATCATCTTTGTCATATCTGGTATTTTAAAATATTCATCACACAAAAGCCGCAAAAAAAAGATTTTTTGTTTTTATTCACATCTCGATTCATTTCATCATCACCACGACATTAAGATTCAAGATCTCTTTTTTTTTCTCATTCTCAAGGGTTATTAATTCAATTTCATATTTCACTTGAACAACCAAACAAACAAACACACACACACAAACAGACCCACCTACCTATAATATACGTATAATTTTTATCTGAAAAAATATATTAATGGATATTTATCATTATAAGATTGAAAAAAATGAACAAAATTCATTCGAACAAACAAAATGACCCTTTGCCAATTAATTTCATTGATTATTCACCATTATTGATCAATGCATTTCTTCATCATCATCATCATCATCATCACCATGATCAACAACGATGTTTTTTCTTGTTCCTTAATCTTTATTCTTCAAATTCATATTATTATTATTATCATTATCACCATTTATTAATTCACTTTTGATTATTATCCAATTGTTCAATTTTATTCAATTTAATTGTTTTGTTTTTTCCTTTTCTTTCTCTATTTTTTTTGATTTTATTATTGATTAATTGATTCATCTCATATGTTCATCATCATCATCATCATCATCGATTATTATTATCATACACAGAACTGAACAAATTGATTCGATTTTCTTTTCCTATTTTTCATATATCCAATTCAATTATAATAATCATCATCATCATCATTATAATCACAACATTTACCGAGATATTATGCAATCCTTTTATTTCTTCAACACAAACACCAACAACAGAATGAATGACAAATGTGTCACTTTCTTTGAACTACCTGGAAATGCACAAAAAAAGTGCACTCATCAGATTTTCATTTCATCATCCATGTCATCGATTTTGCATTTTGCTATTTACATATATTTGTTTTCCCCCAACCAAAATCGATCATTGACCAAAATTTGCATTTGGGAAATTTTCTGTGTTTATGAATTTTTTTTTTACTCAGAAATCCAATCATCACCATCATCATCATGATCGTTATTTTTTTATTGAATTTTTTTTTGTGTTTCCATTTCATTTCATTTTGTTTTGTTTTTTTTTTTGTTGTTGTCGTTGTTGTTGTTGTTGCTGGACAGCTATATTTTTTATTTGACAGCCTTAAGTGGAAGAAAAAAAAAATTCAATTGGTCAATCGTTGTTGTTGTTGTTGTTGTTGTTGTTGAACCATGACACACACAATGACAAATTTAAAAAAAAAAATTGGTGATGATTATCATTAATTTAAAAAATTGTCAAATTTTTTTTGTTTTGTTTTTTTCTTCATCCTCTTTATTTTAATGAATTTTTTCATTCATAATGATAATAATAATGACAATTGGTGACATTCATACATACATTTTATTCGTTTGATTGACATTGAATTGAGATTTTCATAAAAAATTGATTTATTCCAATACATATGACCCGGCTCACAAACACACACACACACACACACACGTACACAGACAGATGATTTAAATTTAAATGTTATGCATTGCCCACATATTTTAAAACTGATAACGATGATGATAATGATGATGATGATGATGATTATTATGGTAAATGTGCTAACTCTCACTCTCTCTCTCTCTCTCTCTTTTTCTGTCTTTGCTTACTACTATATACTTGTTAAATTCATCTCATATCTATTTGTTTTCCGAAATATATAAAAAAATCAATATCAATGATAATGAAAATAAAAATTTATTGAAAATTTCAAGTTCATCATTCAGTATTTTTTTTGAATTTAAAATTGTCAAAAAAAAACGTAGTGAAATTGTCAAATTTCAAAAAGGTGCTGCCATCTTTCAACATAAATAATTACTAATTTCCAAGGTAGCCAATACATGTAAAATGAACAAATTTTTTTTTGTTCATAAGTTCGGATGAATTTTTGTGGTGAAATTTTTATTTTTCATTTTTCAAACAATGTATAATTTGATTTGAATTTTTGAGAAAATCCAAATAAACAACAAACACATTGGCACACATTCAATAATGAATGAGCAACATGTGTGTTCAGCAAGTGGAGAAAAAAAAAGAAAAATAAAAAAAAACTTATCAAAACATCCGTCAGATGGCGACCCAGAATTCAATTGGTTTTTTTTTTTGAAAACCGCTTAAAATGAAAAAATGAAAAAATGAAATCATCATAAGAACGTTATCAAAATCACATTGCTATGTTTATAATAATAACAACTGGAAATTACTAGAAAAATTTAAATGTATAGCTAATATAATATGGTTATCATCTCACTCGCTCTCACTCTGTTTGCTGTCGGTTTCACTTTCAATTTGTTATGTTATGTTATGTTATGTTTTTCACACATTTCAATTATCGAATATAACCTGGTTTTATTTTCATTTTATTTCAGGATGAAAATTTACCAAATTTTTGGGGAAAATGAAACGGAAAATTTTTCTCTTCATCTCTCTCTCTCTCTTTTTTTTTGTTAAAGTAATGATGAAGATTTATAAACATACCATGTTTATGATAAAATAAACGAGTTGTACACACACACACACACACACACACACACACTTTGAACATTAGAACACAAAAAAACAAGAAACAAAACAAAAAAAAATTCATCAAGCTGATCAATTTTTTTTTTTCGAAACACTAATTTTAAACTATTGCGTGCATGGCCAATTGATCTCAATTGGTATCAATTTTGTTGTTGTTGTTGTCTATTCTCAATGACACTTGTCATCACACAGGTGATCATCTTATTTTATTTTCTCTTATGATGGATATGTGTGATTTTTATTGTTCTTGTTGTTGTTTATGATGGTAATGGTTGGTAGTTGGATGGAAAATTTTTCAACAATTATCATTCAATCATTATAATCAATAATTTTCGACCTTGTTTGAGTGACAATCAATCGACGACGATATGAATCCAATCGAATCAAATCAACACCAGTATCAGTATCATGATTATATCAAATTACTTGTTGATCATATCATCTCATCATTTTATCACCATTTCTGCTAAATAATTTTTCTTCATGAATGATTAAATTGATAATTCAATCAAATGGTGGGAGTTTTCAGTTTATCACTCCATCCGATGAAAATTGTTTCAGAAAATATTTTTCGTTTTCTGGTTGACATTACGGGAATCTATGCGTGTGTGTGTGTATGTGTGTGTGTCTTGTGTAGTTTAAATCATTTGTCTTGACCATCATCATTCATAAGCAAAAACAATGAAAATAAAAATTTGTGATGTAATAAAAGTGGCCATATTTTTATTAATATTTTCATTCACATTTCTTGCATTGATCGTTATTTGTCGTACATTATTAGTGCAACAATATATGGTCAATTCATATTGTACAATGAATGAAAATTATGTACCATTATATGGTATTAATCATAATGCAATTACGGCTGAACGTGGTATATTTGAACGTTTACAGGATGCATTGAAAATTCGTACAATAACAAGACGGCCAAAACACTATGACCGTGATGAGATATTACGATTTCATCGTTTTCTCAATTCAAGTTTGTTTGTTTGTTTTTTTTTTGCTTATTGATTGATTGGTGATTTTTGTTTCCAAAAAAAAATAGATTTTCCATTGATACATTCATCACCATTGGTTGAATTGACAATTGTCAATGAATTAAGTTTATTATATAAAATAAATGGATCAAATCAACAATTGAAACCATACATGTTGTTGGCACATATGGATGTTGTACCCGTACAGGAAGATATGTGGGATTTTCATCCATTCGAAGGTAAAATTCACAATGATTATATATATGGTCGTGGTGCATTAGATTTAAAAAGTGTCGTTATGGTAAATAATCATTGATTGATTCAATTATAGTTGTTGATTTTGTAAGAAAAAAAATTGTCTAATTCATTAGGGTATAATGGAATCATTGGAATTTATATTGGAGAATAAAAATCCAATTGTACGATCATTTTATATTGCAATCGGTCATGATGAAGAAGGTCGTGGATTGGATGGTGCACAACAGATAGCCAAATATATGGTTGAAAATAATATGGACAACGTGGAATATATTCTTGATGAAGGTCCTTATATATTTCGTAATGCAATACCCGGTGTTAGCCGTGATGTAGCCATGATTGGTGTTGCCGAAAAAGGTTTGGTGAATATCAAACTGAGTACTGATGGTGCCGTTGGACATTCATCATTGCCGCCTAAACAAACAAGCATTGTACGTATGGCTAAAGCTGTATCGAAATTGAATGCCGATAGTCATCCAAATCTGTTTGGTTATGGTCCAGAAAAAGATATGATTGAAGCATTGGCACCATATTGTTCATTACCATATCGTATATTATATACAAATCTATGGCTATTCTCACCAATAGTGGCTAAATTACTTGAAAATGATAAATTAATGAATAGTTTTATACGAACCACTACTGCCGTAACCATATTCACTAGTGGTATAAAGGTATTTTGCTTCGAAAAAAAAACTTTTCAAATTCCTTTTTTTAAAAAAATTCTCATTTTTTTCAATTTATAGGATAATGTATTACCCGGAAAAGCTGAAGCAATCGTAAATCATCGAATTTATCCATTAAATCGTGTTGAAGATGTATTACGACGTGATATTGAAATTATTGATGATGATCAGATTAATGTTGAAGTATTGGGCGTTGCCATACAACCACATCCAATATCATCATATGGTCATGATTCATTTGGTTATCAAACGATTCGTCAAAGCATACAGCAAGTATTTCCGGATATTGCAATAATACCTGGTATGATGTACGCTGCAACCGATACACGTTGGTATCTAAATTTCACCAATAATATATATCGTTTTTCACCCGGTTATATAACAATGGAACAATTTTCCATTGTACATGGTCACAATGAACGTATATCAAAAGATAACTACTTAAAATTGGTCAATTTTTATCATCATATTATTATGAATTCAAACGATGCTCAAGTGGACATTGCATTTTTTAAGGATGAATTTTGAACTTCAAATGAATGGCACAAGAAAAACACAACAAAGAAAAACCGGAAAAAAAATCCAAATAATATTGATATATCTTGTCATTTTAACATTTTGTTTTTTTTTTTTTGTTTTTGATTGTTTGTTTGATAAATAATACTTCAAATATTTGATTTGAATTCATTCGTTGCTGTTATTTTAATTTTGTTTGCTTTTATTTTGATTATGGTCATCATCATCATCATCATCATCATGATTCGCGTGGATCATCTATTTTACAATTTTTGCGCCATAAACCATTAATAATTAAATTAACAATGAGCTAGATGAGTTTGAATGTAGAGAACAGAATGAATAAGAAAAATAAAGAATAAATAAAACAAAAATATCATACCACAGCCCAGAATACATCCATACAATAGATGATTAATAGAAATGAAAATAGACCATATCCAAATGTGAATAATTCCCGTGAAACAATTTCATTGAGAAATGTAATTGATTCCATCAATGAAATCATTGGAAATAGATAAAGACGATAATAGAACCAAGCGATAATAAATAGAGCAAAATTCATGATACGTATTTTCGATTCCAGATATTTTATCAATGATAATTGTAGACATACAAGACATTTGCTTCCTTCAAGAATGACATCACAGATATCATGAAAATAAATGACCGTAACACCGACATTGTGTAATCTTTGATTGGAAATTGGAATAAAAAAAAAAAAGAATTATTCACAAATTATTCAGACACATACACACACAATGCTTACCGGACCCAATAAGAGAATGATAATAAGAATAATGTAACAACATGATGAATAATCATGACGATTGAATCATATTTCCATGAATTGATAAAATAAACAGCATAAATTGAATGTAAATAGAATCCAATTTCAAGCCAATATAAATATTTAATCAATACCGGTATTGGTCGTTCAACACTATAGTCTGTGGGATAAAAATAAAAAAAACAGATGAAATTTTAAGTATTCATTCACAGCTCAAACAACATACTTGTGAATATACGACTTGGATCTTCAATGAAACCATTTGAATTTATAATCAAAGCAGCAATAATGGTTGTAAATGTATAGAATGAAAATGACCAACCAGATTCAATAAATTTTCGTTCATTTCTGGCTGAAACATAGCCATTTTTAATGAGATTATTCTGCAGATATAGGGAAAAAAATTATTATCCAATCATCACCAAATTATCGATTAAACACATATACCCGAATAAAATTCATCCATAATGATTTTCGTATTACGGTCATAATGATAGCAAACGCAATTATTAAGGCCATCTGTCGTTGATAGTCATCATTATATTTGAATGATAATTCAAGACCATTTTTAAATTCATTATAATGAATAAAAGTTCCTGGCCATTTATCAATCAACAAAGATATTGATTGATTGAAAAAATTCAAATAATTTTGCATATTGATGAAAAATAGGAGAAAAATTTTAACTTTCAAATGTGATGATTAACACCCAACACAAACACAGAAACCAAACAAAAACATAAATCCACTCAGAGTGGAGCAATGTCAGATCTAGAAAACAACAACACGACAAATGGCAATAAAACAAACAAAAAAAAATATATCAATCTGATGGTTGATACAGGTAGTTGAACTTGATAATTAATAAATGATGTTTGATGATGATGATGATTGTAATAAAAAAAATTTTTTTAAGAAAAAAAAAGAGAAATTGAATGAAACAACAAAATACGATATAAAGAATGGCGGCGGTATCCTCGTTGAAATTGGTGGTGATGATGATGGTTGTTGTTATTGTTGTTGTTGTTGTTGTCGATTGTCGTGTTGGTCATAAGGCAACAAACCAACGACAGTCGTTTTTTGTTTCACTTGTTATAACTAAATTTGAAATTGAAATGTGCGAAAATAAGACAAAAATCAAAAGCACATGCACAGTGAGAATGAGTGATGAATAGTCAACAAGTTTTTTTTCAAAAAAGAAAAAAATTGTTAAAAAACAAATCAAATATATACTCTTTATATACACACACACACACACACACACACGGTCGACATCCGATCAATCAATAATGTTCAATATATAATGATGATGATGATTATATGCATATATAGCCAATGACATGTTGTTGATCATCATCAATGATATGTATTCAATGCAATCCATATACGCACAAAAATATTTTTATTTGTACATCAAAATACCCTGTAAATAAATATTAGACAAACAATATATATATACATTGAACGTGTGTGTGTGTGTGGTGTGCGTGTTTGTGTGATAAATCAATGGTAATGATGAGGTGAAAATAGAGAAAATAAAAAAAAGTGGCAATGTGTGTATTTTGATAACCAAATGCAAACAATCTTTCTTTTCTTTTTTTTTGTTCACAATTTCTACATTGAAAATATTTGATTCATACATTCATCATTGTCTGATTGATTTGATTTGGTTATTTTTTTTTTATTAAATGAGAAAAAAAACAATCATCATTATTATCATCATCATTAGTAGTAGCAGTATAAATATATAAATATATGTCCTGATCGAAATAAAAAAAAAAAAAAAATATGAAAATAACGATGATAAGAAGATTCTCAAAATACAGTGGACTCGCTCTACTTTGCTGAACAATTTTGTTCCAGAAAAAAAATGTTCGCAAATCGAAATATAATTTGCAGAGGAAATCGATCAATTTCGCAAATTTTTGTGTGTGTGTGTGTAAACTACAGGAAAAAAAAATTTTAATGTCCGGTTAAAATTTAGCATTCAATTTCATCATCATTCATTTATAATGATTGATTAATCAGTTTGATTGACAACTAAAAATTATCAATATTATGCTTTCCTTTTTTTCATTGGAAAAATTCACAATTTCAAATTGAAAATTTTTTTTTTTTTTTTTTGCTAAAATTTTGTTCGTCAGTCGAGTACCCACTGTATCATTTCTCTCTGTGTGTGTGTGTGTGCGTTTGTTTGTTTGTTTGTTTGTTATAGTAGTAGGATTATTTTTCAAATAAAAATGTCACATTTAGATATATAGGCGTTTTATTATGATGATGACAAACAGAAAGAAAAAAAAAACAAGAATGACAATTATATTATCCACATAATGATTGATTTCAATAATTTTTTTTGTTCAATTTGTATATTTGTTTTGTTTTCTTAGAATTCTTTGATTAGTTTTGTTTTATCGATTATGAATTTTATCGAAATGACAAATCAAAGATAATAGATGGTTTGTGTGTGTGTGTGTGTATGGGGGCTCCATTTTGTTATTGTTTTGTTTTTTTTGAAATTCCAGATAATCAGTAAAAAATGGAAATGAAAAAAAAAAAAAAAAAAATTTTAAACCATTTTTCATTGAACGTTTATGTGAATTTATTTACATAGATTATATATCGGTCGTCGCCATAGTTGTTAATCTCATTCGCAATCATTTGCCATTGTCGTTGTCGTCATGAATGTGATGGGAAACCTATCGATAGGCTGATAATAATTAATAATAATTTTTTTTCCATTGGATTCTATATTTATATTGTAATTTTTCATGTTCTTTTTTCCAATTCACATTGAACAATAATGATAACCTCAACAGTGGCTAGAAATAAAGTCAATGAACGGTTTATTTGGATAAAAACGAACAATTACAATTACAAACATCTTTAAGCATGAAGATATATTTTTTTTGTTGTTGTTGTTGTTGTTAGATAGATTCAAGTGATTCAAGGGAACCAGCGTGTGCGCATGTGCGATTTCTTTTACAAGTTTTTAATTAATAAATTCATTTCCTCTTTTTTTTTGCGGTGGTCAAAGGATAAAGATAGATTTCTCTCTCTCTCTCTCACACACACACAGAAATATTACTCGTGTGACCGTCGACATGATGATGCTGAAGAAACGAGTTTTTATTTCTCTTTTTTTTCCAATAAAAATCGGAAGGAAATTAACAACGACGACGATGATGAAAAATAAAAACGAAAGTCAATCCAATCTCCAATCAACAATTTAATCATCGAAGAACATGAAAAAGAAAAACTCGTTCGTTTTTTTTTTTTTTTGATTTCCAATTTTTTCCCTTCATGTCGTTCCAATTGAGATCAAATTTAAATGGGAAAAAAAGATGTTCAATGAAAATTGTATGCACATTGGTCAAGTGAAAAAAGAGAAAAAATCTAACCAACTACTCATGTGTATTTTGTAACGAAATTTTATATATATTAAATTTATTGCTGTAAAACATGTTTTACTTTGCTCATTTTTGAAATATAATTAATGAATCAGTTACAAATATCGATTTTTTTTTATTTTTGTAAGAAAAAAAATGATGAAATGAAATGAGAAATTTGAAAAAGAAAAAGAAACAAAAACTTTGAAAGAAATGCACCTAAAAAAACTTGTTGCTGCTCATTTAAGCTAATGATATCCAATTGATGATGATGATGATGACCATTGGATCCATTGATGAAAGTGAAAAAAAATGAAGGAGAACTTTTTTTTCAATACAAGAAACGACAACAACAAGGACAACTACAACAACAACAAGCTTTGATATCTTATCCAAGCAAGCTAGATTTTTTTTTGTTGTTGATTATACAGGTGGGAGATCCACAAATACACACACACACACACACACACAGTTAATGAATGAAACTTTTTGGCTAACTAACTAGAAAATAAACTAATGAAACTAGATTCGATAGCCATATCTTTGGCTTTATTTTTTTCAATAGAACGATGGATTTGATGTTGTGGTGAGGCTTTTCTATGGGAATAGATCGATAGATGATAGAAACATTTCGGATCATGTAGAAACAACATCCTTTTTTCAAATGAAACAACAACAACAACAACAACAACAAATAATCAGAAATATTGACTTTTTTTTGTTGTTGTTGTTGTTGTTGTTTTTTCAATAATCAATCAATTGATTAAAATTGCTGATCATTTTGTTGTTGTTGTTGTTATTGTTATGAATCTATAAATGAAAATCAATTCTATACATTGATCAATGTGCATGTGTGTGTGTGTGTGATTTATTCGACAATTTTCATTTCCCCTTTCAATTGTTTGTTGCATTAATTATTCAGTGATTTTGATATGTGAAAAAAAAATCGGATGATGATGATGTTTATCATTCATTCATTAATCGAATGATGACAATTTTTTTTAAATCAATCAATCAATCAATCAACTTTGAAATTTTTTTTTATCATTTTGTTTTAATAATTTGTATATCCATAAATGTGTTTCTGTGTGTGCGTGTGTGCATGGCATTTGTTTCATCAAAAATTTCCACCTCTTTACTTCTTGTTTGTACGAAAAAAAAACAAAATTTGATCTTTGAACTGAACTGATTTCATTCAGAGAAAAAAAAATTGAATCGGAAAAGTGATAAAGATTTGTTTGTTTGTTTGTTTTGTTTTTTATTGGGTTCGTGTGTATGTTGAATTTATATTATTGAATTGAAAATACATGCTTAGAACCGCGAAAAAAACAACCACAACCACAACCACAAACATGGCAATCGATTGTAATCATCGAGCAATCATTGCTCAAGCATATAAATTACCATCAATATTCATATTGATCACATCATTTTCATATATTTCATCCGAATTATTATACTGGATGTTATTATACATGATTATATTTACATTCATACCGAATGCATTACATTCATTGTTTCTCATATTTATTGCAACAAATGATCGATTAAAACAACGACAACAACAACAACAACAATCGATTATTAATAATGAGAAACAAACAACAACAACAACAACAAGATGGTCAAAAATTAGCCATTTATTATTGGCCAAACAAATATGGATGACTGAAAAATTGGCAAATTTCATTTCAAATCTTATTGATCTATACGCATGGCTGGCACATTCGTATGAAATTGTTGGCTTGGAAAATGTTCCTGATGATCCGAAACGACCAGCATTGATGATCTGTTATCATGGTATATTACCGACGGATATGATTTTTGTTTATAATCAAATTTATAAAAAATATCACCGTTTTCCACGTGCTGTTGGTGATCGTTTTCTATTCATATTTGGCAATCTAATACGTGATTATATTTTTCCCGGTCCGGCCGACAAATGTATTGAAACATTAAAACAAGGACATTTACTCGTGATAGCACCAGGTGGCACTAGAGAAGCACAATTTGCAACAACACAATATGAAACATTATGGAATAATCGTTGTGGCTTTGCTCGTGTTGCACGTGAAGCCAAAGTGGATATAATACCGATATTTACAAAAAATTCACGACAAATCTATATAATACCGAGAATATTTCAGATAATATTGAAACCAATATATGAATGTACACGTATACCAGTTGTACCATTTTTCGGTGGATTTCCCGTTAAATTAACATCATTCATTGGTAAACCAATACATTATGATTCAGCTGATAATGCTGAACAATTGGCAAGGATATGTCAGAAAACAATTGATGATATGATAGCAACATATCAAACATTTCCGGCAACAATAATTGGCGCTCTTAAAGAGCGTTTTATTAAATGTGATAATTGTTCGACCAACACCAACACCAACACCAACACCAGCACCACAACAACAAAAAATGAATGACCATTCTCATTTTAACAAATAAAATTTTTTTGGATCATTTTTTTCGAAAAAAAAATCAATTTTTCCACCCCCAATTCACAGAATCATTGCCTGAAATATTTCCCATCGTTATTAGATTGAATATATAAAAATTTTAATTGTAAAAAAAATTATTAAAAAAAGTAATCATAAAAAATATACTTACATTGTATGAATTTTTTTGTTCACCTAAACCAAACAAATTAATCATCAATTTTTTTCTGGAACAAAATCCAGGCTTAGAAATTCGCGTGCATGTGTGTGTGTGTGTATGCATAAATGTTAAAAGGTCAGTAGGTCAGAGATTTTTTTTTGTGTGTTTTGTTTTGTTTTCATCCATTCACAATTACTGACTTTTGCTCTCATTTTTCTTTGTGTTTAGTTTTTTTTTCTGGCTATTATGAATGTTTCTTTCTTTTTCACGATGATGATGATGTTGATGATGATGATGGTGGTGATGGTGACGACGCCAAACAACACAATTATGATGATGATCAAAAATGAAAAAGCAAAAGCAAAAAAGAAAAACGATCAAACATGATGATGATGGTAATGGTTTGAAAAAAATGAGAGCCAAATTCGGCTTTTTAAACAAAGAAAAAAAAGTCAATCTTTATTCAATCCGGTATCAGATACAAGATTGGAAATATGAATATATATGATTCACTCAAAAACATAACATCGCTAGTTTTTTTTCATTTTCTGTCTTCTTCCTTTCCCCACCCCGCACACACACACACACACATAATTCATCAACAGGTGTGTGCATGATATCCAAAAAGAATTAAAATGAAAAAAAATCGATCCTATTTTGTTCAGTTGATTCATTCATTCCATATTCAGCAGTCATATGTGTTTGTCCGTGTGTGTGTGTGTGTGTGTGATTATTAATTTTCTCTATATATATTCATGAAAGCAGAAAAACTACTAAACTAAATAAAATACTAATTTGAATTTGAATATATTCAAATTTAGTCAATAAGGCTATGAGCAATCAAGAAGAAAGAAGAAGATGATGATGAAAAAACAACTTGAATCATAGACAGATCTTGAATGATTAGTCGTTTTTTTTCTCGTCGCTGTCGTTTTCGTCGTCGTCGTTGTTGTTGTTGTTGTTGTTGTTGTTTGTTATAGTTTGAAACATGAAAAAAAGACAACTTTTTTTTGCCCAAAAAGAAAAAAATCTTCATCCCAATAGACGTTTGATGGGATGATGATGATGATGATGAAAAAAAGAAAGAAGAAAGCTCTTTACATGCTGCGCCGACATCTCTTTCACCGCTTTTTTTCCATTTATTTTCGCTATAATGAATTTCATGATTACGAAAATTTTGTTGCTTGCTTACTTTCTTTCAATTCATTCATTCATTTAAGTGTCAGGTTATAGTCTGATGATGATGATGATGATGATGATGATCATAATTCAAAGTTCCGTCTTGAAAATGTGAACATAGCCGACCGACCGACCAACCGACCGTAAATACAAATTGATCGAAACAAAAATCATCATCATCATCAATAACCAAACGGTTATTTACCTGTTGTTTGATAATTATAATTTTTTATCGATTCTCAATAGAAAAAAAAATCATAAATTCAATTCACATCTATATCCTTTCAGTCTTTGTCTGTTGCTCGATAGTCAATCATCATCATCATCATCAATATGGAAACTGTTTAAACACAACACAATTATTGATGTTGTAGTAGTAGTAGTGGTCATCGTCTTTTTTGATCCATTTGAATTTGGATCTATCCAGTTTTATCTGCAGCATCAATAACAGCAAAAGCAACGAAGAAAAAAACGTGTCATTTCAAATTTTGAATTTTTTACTTTTTTTTACTGTTGTGTGTGTGTGTGGATTCGTCACTTTTTTTCGTTGTATTTCCGGTGATAATTTATTTTAGATATTAATCGATCAAACAATGGTAATTGTATTGATTTTATTGATTTCATATATATATATTAATTAATGATAAAATTTATTCATTTCAATAAAAACAGAAATCATCAACAATATCAATGTTGTCCACGTTTTTCAATTGTTTAATCATTCAATTATTTTTGATTACGATTGTGATTGCATTGCAAAAAAATCAACCATCACCATCATCAACATTATTTGAAGATTATGATGATGATAATCCAATAAATTCACCATCCAGTAATAATAATAATAATAATGATGGCCATTCAAAAATAGCTAATGAAAATTTTAGTAACGAGGCTAGTCCAAATAATAATGATGAATATATTGGTGATTCTGGTGGTGATGGTAAATTATACGAAGATAATGAACAAGAAAATTTAGCTAAAACAAAATTCAGTGATGAACGTTTTGCACGTTTATTTCCATCACGTGGTGGTATTAGAAGCAATGGCCGTTATGATGATCGTCGTTTGATGCCAAAAGAAATTGCTAAACCTAAACCAACATTGCCATCATTTATAAAAAGTACACCGCCATTGATTAAATTGCATATAACAACACCATCGCCATTATTATCATCAAGAAATCTACAACGGCAACGATCATCAGCGACAAATGTAACACCGATTCCATCAAGAAAACAACAACAAGCCAGTACTACATCACGTCCAATAAATAATATTCAAGCAGCACGTAATCGATTATTAGGCCAACAACAACAACAACAACAGCAACAATCATTACAGAAATCAAATAGACAATTATCTGGTCGATTATCAACAACCACAACAACAACAACAACACCGTCACCATCACAAAGAAGGCGTTACAATGGTTCATCATCCATCAATAATAATCTTGGTTCACGATTTTCTAGAAATCAAAATTCCACAATACCATCATTGAATCCACGTGGACGTAATTTTTGAGCACCAGAAATCATGATGAATGAAAAAAAATTTTTTTTTGATTCACTGATATTTTACGGTTTCATGATCATGATTTTCTTTTTTTCTTACACTATATATATGGCCAAAATCAAATCGAATTTGTTTGTTTGTTTGTCTGATTTTTTCCCGTTCTCCATTTGATCATGTTGACCAAAAAAAAAATAAATTATTTTAAGCTTTAAATATCAAACATTTGAAAGTGATAATTAAATATTTTATTTTTGCCCTTTTTTTCAATAAAAAAAAAGACATTGACCGGTTAAAAAAAACATCATCACTGAAAGGTCATTAATAGCTGACAACAACAACAACAAAAAATGGGACAAATTCCTTGTAATTTTAACATTTTTTTTTCTATTTGATGAAGCTCATCTAACCTAGATTATTATCTATATAACATGTTAGATATACACACACAGATAGATGTATTATTCATACCATCAATCAATCAATTGGCTCATGTTCATGGCTTTTTATTTTTATTTTTTGGCATATCTTCTATATCATTATAATAATGACAAAATGCATTGGATTTCAAAATGTAACAATTTTTTTTTTTTTTTGATTTTCTGTTACATTCGATAATAATAATAATGGACCAGATGTTCTATTAGTTCAAAATTGAGAACATATTCATTCAATTGTTTAATGCGTATTAAGTGAAAGTTTTTCATTTTCACTTTTTTTTTCGACATTCATCAACAACAACATTTATTCAATTCAAATTGTTTCTTTTTTTGTATCGCCCAATAATTTTCAATGAAAAAATAAAATGGAACAACCAGATGAGATGTGAACAAAACAAAACAAAACAAAACAAAAACTGTATTTATTCTTTGGCCCAATGACACACAATGAAATTGTTCTTTTTTTTCGGTGTTAATGATTATTATTTATGGATATATTAACACATTTATTTGTGGTCAATTGAAAAGCAAAAAAAAAATTTGATGCTTTGAACTAGATTTTTTTTTCTTTCTCTACATCTCCTCCCCCATTGCAAAAAAAAAATAATGATGAAATTATTGAATAAAAAAAATTAATACCGATGATGATGGTGATGGCAAAATCGTGATTCGATCATCCAAATGTGGAACCCAAAAAAAAAACGACGAAAATGGAAAATTTTTTGGCCCAACAAAAAAAAAAAATGAAATCAAATCAAATCAACGATCAAAAAGGAAGAAAAAAAAATAAATTCAAGAGGCCTGTGTGTTTGAGATCTATTTCTTTCCAATGAATGATGAAGAGAAACCTAGCATTTGTTCATCATTGAGAATTGTTGTTCGAATGGTGTTCTGAGCGGCGTTCTATGTTATTTTAGTGAAAATTTTTTTTCAGTCATCTTTTTTTTCGGAAAAAAGCTAAAATCTTTCCAGGTTTGTTTTCATTTTTTTTTCTCATTTTTTTCTATTTATTTTGATTTTTATTCGAGTGTACAGTTTGTGTGTGTGTGTGTAATGGAATCGCAGGATTTCAACAATTTTTTTTTTCGTTGCAAAAATTCAAATCAATCATTCTTGACAGTGTTTGTCTGTGTCTCGATAAATAAAACACAGTGTGTTCAATCGATCAGGAAAGAAAATGAGCAAGAATTTATCTTTTTTTTTTTTTTGTTGTTTGTTTGTTTGTTTGACTCACGGTCTTCATTGATGATAATTGTCTGACTTGTCTAGTGAGTGTGAAAAAAAAGTAAAAGTGAATTATCTCTGTGTGTGTGTGTGTCTAGTTCATTTGGTCATGATCATCATCATCATCAACACTGGTCATCGGTCAAACAAAACAAAACAAAAAGGTCTAGCTGGTCATACATAACATTAATATAGTATGTATAGATCAGGCAGATAGCTAATTAAAAGTGCAAGTGGCAATGGTTATTGTTTAAAGTAATAATCGAAGTAGTTGTTTGGTCGGTCGTTCGTTTGATCGATTTTAGCTTTTGGGGTTGTTACCATCTATCCATCCATATTTGGACTAGATTCTTCATCATCATCATCATCATCATCATCAACAACAACAACTTCTGACATTCCATACAACAACATAAACGAAACTTTCTTCATTTTCTATGCTTGTTGCCGGTTTCGGTACCTCTGAATTTTTTTTTTTTTTAGTGGGTATCGAACAGGTATATTCAGGCATATACAGGTGTGTGTGTGCATGTGTGTGTGTTTATTATGGTTGTTCATTGATTGAATTTTTTTTTTTTTCATTCCCTTATTTCTTAATGGTCTTTATTCAGTTGATAAGTGTTTGTTTGTCTATTTGTCTGTTGTATTCTGCCGCATACACACACACACACACACACGAACACACGGTCCCAAAAAAAAAAAAAAATTGCTTTGGCCCAGTTTTTTGATTTCTGCATTTTTTTGTTGTTGTTGTTGTCGAAAAAAAGACTTGAAAATTTTTCCACTTTTTTTCTGGGTTTTTCATTCCAGTGAAAATCATCTTGTTGTTCTCACTTCTTCTTAGTCTTAATTTTTTTTTTGATCCAGAAAAAAAATGTTATCAAAAAAATTTCCATTCATCATTTCAATCATTATCGTTGTCATCATTATTTCTGACCATAATGAATCAATCAATGCATTATCATTTCCAACGATAATTAATCCATTAAGTTGGTATTATTGGTCACCATGTAAGTGTGTTACATTCTGTATACAGTAAATTGTTTTTCATGTCCATTCAAATTTTTTTTGTTTTGTTTTGTTTTTGAATAGTAAATATCAACAACAGTAATAGTAGCGTGAATAATGGCCAAAATATTACCACCACCAATCATATTAATATGTCAAAATATCTACAGATATTACAATCGATTTTTCCGAAAAATATTACTGGCTTCTCATCATCATCATCATCATCATCATCAACCGAACCGATAGTTTCTGATTCCACAACAATAACCACATCAACAGAAACAATAAAATTGCCCATTAAAACGGAAACGGATACTGAAAAAACAACAATGATACCAACAATGACAACAGCGGTTATTGATCAAAGCATGAAGCCAATAAAAATTGATGAACCATCACTACAATCATTTATGATTAATAAAAATGATGATGAAAATAAATCAATTGTCTACAATGATCTACAAGGACGTAATACACAACAACAACAGCAAACTGAAAATTTAGAAACAACAACAACAACGACAACGATGATGATGGATATGGAGATGACTACAAATACCGGTTATTATATGCCGATAAAATCTCAGTCAAGAACATTTTTCAATAATAATGATGATGATGTTGTTGATAATAATAATCGAGAACGAACAATAGAATCATTGATGCATTATTCCAATCAAAATGATGATAATAATAAAATGCCAACAACAACAACAATGGCCAATGATGATATGATGATGGTTAATCAAAATAATTATGTTGATAATAATCAAATTTATGATTTTAAACTACTTGATGATGGTAATTCAAGCAATGGTGATATAACAACAACAGCGAAAACAACAGATATGATGTTAAAAATGCTGAAAATGATGACCACTACTGCTGCAAATACACCGCCATCATCAACAATAGAACAGACAACATCAACAACAACAGCAACGGAAATGGTGAATATTCCGATTGAAAATTCATCTGAAATGGCAATAAAAATAATGCCCATTATGGAACCAATCATTAATTTGACAATGCCGATGAATGATGCCGATAATGATGATGATGTTGATGATGAACATATGATACGTATGAAACATTTATTACAAATTGTTGGTGGAAAATATTGGCAACCAACAACAACAACAACAACATTGGCAAATCAAAATGATGATGATGAATCGAATGAAACTATTTTGATCAATCAAAATCAATCAACGATGAACAACAACAATGATGAGCAACAATCAACAATCATTAATAATAATATGGCAATCGAAACAACGACGATGAATCCATCTACAATGGTGATGATAATGACAACCAATAACAGTAATATTGATGGATCATATAACAATAACAATGATAATGGTAATGACAATAAACAATCAGCTCAATCATCAATCATCAAAATGGTTGAACCACGAATATTATTATCAAATAATCATAATGGTGGTAGTGGTGATATGAATCCTTTCATACAAGATTTTCATGATGCATATTATTCAAATTCAGCCATATTTGATGATCTTATGAAACGTTATCCAATGTTTGAACGTACGAATCGTGCTATGAATCATTTTAATGATGATAATCTTGATGAATTGATTGCTTATGGATTGGATGAACAACAACAACAACAACGACGACGACAACAAGATGTTGAATTTTCTTCCAATGATATTGTTGCAATTAATAGAGCATTTTTCGGTTTCAATATTGAAGAACATGTACCAATGATTAGAGAAAGACGATTCATTTAATACAATATATAAACACACACACAAGAACATCAACGTTTTCAAGTTTTTATTTACGGTTCAATAATTCATATAATCAATTGATTAATTAAAAGACCAACCAAAAATGACAATTTAATTATATTGTAAATAGAAAATAAAATTTAAATTTTATTATTTGCCGCCAACAAGTATGAATGTTTTGGAAATTTATTTTGAAAAATAGAAAAAAATGAGAAATTACGGCAAGTTTTTTCTCATTTTCCTTTCTGGAAATTTTTTTCCCACTCACTGAAGCACATGGTACACATCATCAATTCACTATTGTGTGTGTGTGACTGAACGAATTTAACTGACTTGTAAAATAACATTGTTTTTGATTTACCATTGTGTTAAAAGATGGATGATTTTGATAAATCTTCGAATATGAATTCGAAACAATTAAATTCAGATGAAATAAAAAAATCTGAAATGATTAATGAAATAAACGATATGCGTAATCAATTATTCAATCGATTAGTACATCTAGATTTGAGTGCGAGGAAATTGCGAGAAACTATTCGAAAATTTGATGCAAAAGTTGTCGAAGCCAAAGCATTTGTTCGTGTTCACAAAGAATCTATCGATGATGGTTCGATCGATATTGATCGACCATTGGCTAATGTAATGCTTTGTGAACGAGCCAAATCGCTGGCACAATTGATGAAAATGGCTCAAGAGAAAATGACTCGATTGAGACAAGAAACTGGCATACTTCGAAATCAGTATCGTGATTTTGCTATCGAAACAATTGGTTTGAAGATAGCAGTACTTCATGGTGATTATATCGCTCTTGTCAAATATTTTGATCTCTTAATACAAATCAAAGTATCGGAATCATCACAATTGTATACAATGCTCAAAGAGTTTTTCATTGAAGATATTTATGAAATTGTTCCATTGATGGCCGATATTTTCAAATACACATTTAATCATATTGGCTGGCCACAAATTAACAATGCTCCGGGATCAGAAACTTCAAATCATTTGTGCCAATATCGATCATTATTTTGTAAACTATTTCGATTCCTATTGGAATTGGAACATGGTATTTTTCCTAAATCTCCGATTCCAAATTCGGAAACAATTCGATTGACTATTTTTGATTCAAATAACAATGATCGTGTAATTTATCATGCATTCGAATTGTTGTTTGATCCATTTGTTAAACGATTTGATTATCATTTTATGGATCCCGGTTCGAAATTGAACGATTTACAACATGTAAGTGTTTTGATTTGAATTTTTTTTCGAAATTTCTCTTTATCTTTTTTTTTGTTTAATAGCCCGAATGGTTTCTTTGTTCATTAGAACAATGGATCACAGTGAATGAGAAATTTTTTCGTGATTTAGTCGATCCAGTATTATTGGATTTTTTCGGTGATGATGGAAAATCTGCTACGGTAATTTATTGATCATTTCGATAAATCGATTCTTATATTAACATATTCTTTCTCATCTTATCAAACACAGGTTGAATTGATTTCATGTTTTGTAAAATTGATTGAAAAGAAGTTGCAAGAAGATTTGCCAAAAATGGCCGATGATGATCTCATTTTTATCCGTACAATGGATGAACTTGTCATTTTCAGTGAACAAGTTAATTTAATTGTACCGGATTTGTATGAAAATGATCCGAAATTGAATCCATTGTTTGTGATTTTTTCTGATAATCAAAATTTTAAACGTTTTTTCAAAATTGAACGTAATCGTAAGTAATGTAATCATCATGTGTTATTAATGAAAATATTGACATTTTTCCTGTCCTACACACAACAAACAGGTATCAATGAAATCATTGAAGCTATATTGGATTCAGAAACTTCTTGGCAATTGCTTTTTGGACATGATTTAACATTCGATAGTAAATTTATTATCTGTGAAGCTGCGGATGAATTTGCATCGCTTGTCAATCGTCAAATTGGTTTGTTTGATAAGGAAAACTCTAATTTGAATCGGTATTCATTTTTAATTTTTCAACTTTTCAATTTCTTTAGAACGATCTAAACATATTCCATTGGAAGAGTTACGTGCCGAATTCTTGCATTCAATTATCGATATGATTGATGATTATCGTTTACGTTTATCACAATCAATACATGATTTGCAAGAAAATTGGCCGTTTAGTGATAAATTTTTTGGCATTCTAAACACGTTTGATTTCATTCATTCAATATCGGTGGATTTTGTCACTAAACAAACCTTTCCGCAATCTGATTCGGATCGTGTGAATAAAATGTTTATCCATATGATTGAAGAGATAACTGATCGTATTATCAATACAATAGTATCGGACTTTATCAGTAATCTTTCTTTGTACAAACAATTGAAATGGCATGGAATGTCATTGAAAGACGAACAACCATCCGAAGTGACAAAAGAAGCTGTTACTTTATTCAATGATATTTCAGCCAAAATTTATTGGATTCAGAAAAATATTTCGAAGAATTTGTTCAATCGTTTGATCCACGAAATTGCCGGTCGTTTGCAGGATGCATTTTTTGATAATTTCATTATGGAATCGCAATTTAACAGAGATGGCATCAAACAACTACAATTTGATTTTGAACACGCATTTAAAGCTATTTTCATTGCTTATTCAGATCGTAACATTGTTTTTACATTCTCGACGTAAGTTGTTGATGATTTAGATTCTTTTTAAATACTAATTCTTAATCTATTCCCACCAACACAGTATTTCCGATTGTCTAGTCGTATTCAATTTGAGTCCACAAACTTATCATATTGTTCAGGCACGACATAAAGTGGATAGTGAAAGCGAATTTCGAATGTATTTACAAACATTGGGCATCTATAGTTTGAAACCATCCACTGTTTTGGCATTGATCGATCGACGTGTTGGATTCAACTGATGTGATGAATTTTTTTTGATATCTAAATATTTTGATCGTTTTCTTTACGACAAACACATACATACAACATGGCTTTCAACAACAACAATTAATCAATCATTCGAGTTTTTGTTTTTCTTCTTAATTTTCCAATTAATATTAATCATTATCATTAATAATATAATTATAATTCTTATTGATAATTGAAAAAGTTTAATGAATCAAAAATAAATCATATGTCATTAACCGATGAAAAAAAATGGAACAGTTGTTTGTTTGTTTTTTGGTGTTTGCAAAAACAGAGTTTGCGGTGTAAAATTTGACAAAAAAAAAAAAAAAATGAATTTCATTTCAAAATTTAGTTTTTCGCTCTCGCTACATACAAACAAAAATGATGATTAATAGGCCAATATTTGTGGTACTTTAAATTCTGGATATGTTTGATTATAATTTTCAATAAATTTTGCCAATTGTTTACGTGTTAATTCGGCCAAACGATTTTGATAAATTTTGTTCAATGAAAATTTCGATGAACGTAAACGTGCACAATCTTCATAATAATAGCCACTGGATTCAATTTCGGTTGATAATGCACAATAGATGACAGTTTCGGCACCTTCATCGGCCGTCTATATTGATAACAAGAACAAGAAGAATTGTTAATGTAAATTATAAAAAAAATCAAATCAAATACAATACACATACACGAAACAGGAATGATGCTAGCCATGGAAATAATCGTACCCACCAAACATATTGATAAAGACCGGTCATTGCAACACCTGGATGTAAACTATTGATCAATATACGATATGATTGACCAACATCCGTACGTAACCAATCGGCCATATAATATGTGAACATAATTTGACATAATTTTGATTGTGCATATGCATGGAATGGTGAATATGGTGTATGCTGGGATTGTAGATCATCAATGAATAAACAACGTGGATAATGTGTCGATGATGATACATTTACAACACGTGCTGGACCATTTTTTCATTCGTTTTATTCAATGCCGGTAATAATAACCATGTAAGCAGTACATGACTAAGATAATTAATTTGATAATGATATTCAAAACCATCGGTGGTGAAATTTTTATCAACAAACATAACGCCAGCATTATTGATCAATATATCAAGATAACCATATTCTTTATTGAACCGTGCAACAAAATCAAAAACACTTGACATTTCACGAAAATCTATTGGCCATACCAATATGTTGCCACCATTGATTGTTGGCCGTACTGATTCTCTTGCTTCTTCGGCCATTTTATCTCTTTCTAATTGGCTTGATGCTGACGATGTAACAATTACAATACAACCACGACGATATAGATCTTTAGCCGCTGAAAGACCAATACCACGTGAACCACCTGTCACAACGGCAACATGATTTGTTAAATCGTTCGGTATATCCGGTTCATTTGATGATAATTTTCGTACTTTTGTTGATAATTTTCTTCGTATTTCTTTCAATACATAACGTGCACCAAGTAGATAAAGTTGTATGGCTGTTATTATTGTAAATACTGTATCGATGATTTTTGTTGGAAATATACCATACATTAAATGCCAAAATTTATAATCATTAATGGCCAACATTTTTTTTTCGTTTCTTGGATTAACAAAATGATGATGATGATTAACAACAACAACAACAACAACAACAACAACAACAACAACAATGATGATGATGATAACAAAAATAACAACAAATTCTACGTTTTGTTACAAACAAATTTATTTTTCAAAACAAATCATTGATCATTGATTTCATTACCACTCGTTTTTGATTCTCTAAAAAATGAAAAAAACCAAACAAATTAGATTTTCAATCAAAATAAACAAACAAACACACACACACACACACACACACACCATACACATTTAACAGAATTAAAAATCAAAAAAATAATTGACCTCCATCGTCAACACTTGATTTGCAACTTTAGTCATTCAATCAATGTGGATGATGATTATAAAATTATATACAACGTGTCATTTGTCGTTATGTGTTAAGAGGTCATTCAATTGATGATTTCTTTATATATTTGTGTGTGTGGTATGTATGCATGCATGTATGGTCAATGAATTTTTAGCATCAAATTTTTTTCTTGTTGTTGTTGTTGTTGTTTTGGTCATGTGTGTGTGTGTTTGTGTGTCTATGCATCTGTGTGATTATATTGATGACCTATCTATCTATCTAACTTGTTGATCAAAATTAGTTTATTCAAAAAAAAAAAAAAAAAATCTCTTTATCAATAATCTAATCTTGTAAATCTAAACACTATGTTGAAGAAGACGAAAAGATTTTCTCTTTCTAAAACCAAAAAAAAAAAATGGAAAAAAACGATAAAAATTGAATTTACACAACAACAACAACAACAACTTACGATTTAGATTTTGTACATTGTCGTCGATATTTGTGGAGCGTTGTTGTTGTTGTTTTTTTCATTTGTGCTCGACGAATAAGAAAAAGAAACAAAAAAAATGATGTTTGCCCACTGACCAATGATGAAATTGAATATTAGAAACGAGAAACGAAAAATTTTACGGATAAAATTTATTGAAAGAAATTGAAAATCCAGTTTCTCATTTCTTCTTCACGATCAGATTTCACCGGATCAAATCTGGTAAAGTAGTCTTGACAAGTTTTTTTTTTACTCCACCACGCTATCTTTTTGCAAACTGAAAACAAAAAATAAAATTGTCCGAAGCAAGTTTCTCATTTGTTCCCGTAGAAATTTTCTACTTTTTTTTTGCTACAGATATCTGTGCTTTTGACAAATTTCTCTATTTTTTCGCAAGTTTTTGTGAATTCTTTATTTTTGTTGTTTCGGTTGTTTTTCTGATTGCGTGCATATCAATCAAAAAAGAAAACTTTTTCAACAAGACAAAACGAAATTTTATTTTTTTTTTCAAATTATTTATTGATTTATTATGACAAAATTTTACATGCACACACTCACACACACACACACATCGATTAATCGATAAATTCGTAATGAAAGAAAGAAAAAAAAATTGAGAACGAAATCAAATGAAATCAAAAACAAAACAAAACACACACGCACACGCACACACACAACTTTAGTGGATTGAATTACAATAAAAATCATTTATAAATCAGTATGTTTAACAATATTATTATCATTATCAACAATAATTTGGTTATTACCATTTTCATTTGATCTAATTATCATTGTTGATGATGATGAATGTTTCGATGATGATTGTGGTGGTGGCTTCAAATGATTGTTGTTATTGTTGTTGTTGTTGAAAAATCTACCCGTTGACATCATTGGTGATGATGAACGTGAACTTGATGTCGATATTGTCGTTGCCGTTATTGGTAAACGATGTCCATTATTATTATTACGATTATCTTGTTGTTGTTGTTGTGTTTGTTGTTGATTGTTGTTAACAATTAATGATGAAAATGAATTTGATCCATTACTTTGACGTCTTAAACGATTCTGTTGTTGTTTGTTTTGGTTACTACCAACTCCACCTGGTGGTATATTTGTGCCACTTGATAATGGGTTTGCTAAACTCATTCGTCTTCTTGACCATGCTGCATTTAAAACGGTTCGTACCTTTAATAACAAAAACAAAGGTTTGTAAATTTATCATTGAGCGATATATCTTAAACAAACACAATTGTGAACTAACCTCTTGATTTGTAAAACAATATAGTACCGATACAATAATGCCCTGTACGGATTGAAACATAACATTGATGACAATATAGATGCTAACCAATTTACGATTAAATGTTGATGGATTATATAATACGACAAGATGATGTATTCCTTCAATTTCGAAATGGAAAGATGGAAATTTAACAACAACAGAAAACAATTTATATCTAACATATTTACCCAATAATGGAATTAGAAATGCCGTTGCTTTAATGGCTTTCATTGTGACAATATCCGATTTGTTATCGGCACGTAATTTCATCAATAATATACGTATAATGTTGATAAGAAATAGAAAATTGACAGCAACACAGATAATCATCGGCACACTGACGATGAATATTGTATTACTATTACCGAAACCTTCCCAACAAAGTTTCTCGCCAACTGATGACAGAAATTCAACGGATAATGCCCATGCCAATACACAAATAGCCGGAAATATCCAACCAATAAAATAATAACCAAATAAATAGATTCGTGTATTCTGATGGAATGGTGCCAACAATGTTTTATGGAACAGGAAACCTTCAACAAACATCCAATTAATTGTTGCCATTGATGAATAGATATTCAATGCTTTCAATGATTTACAAAACCAAGGTAGACTAGTTGATATGTCTAATTTTTGTATATTAACCAATAAATTCATTATAATATATAGACAACAATTCATCAATAATGCAATGCATAGATTCTTGTGTACTTTGATACGTAAACATTTCAATGGCCTGTATACAGAGAATTGTAGAAGAATGAAAATGAAAATGTCAAATCAATGATGATGATGATGATGAAAATGACACTCACTTGAAACTAACAAATATAACGATCGATATAATTAATGAGACCATTGATGCGATTAATAATAATAATGCAATATAACTGACAACACCTTGTATACGAGCAGTGGTTGAGGAATCTTTTTCTTGCATTGCCAATAGATTTAAACAATCAGTATAATTTGTCCAATTATTCCAGCCCCATTGTCCATTCGATCCACATTGACGACGGGCATATAATGTTTGCCGTTCATAATCATCGGCATCAACATTGCCCATTGTTGTTGCAAATATTTTATGACATGGTATCTGTACGGTTGTATTGGATTTAGATTCAGGCCATTGAAATATACCATCCCACCATGATTCACACATTGGATCTTGATCCAATTGATTATTATTTCAATTTATGAGCAATGAAAAAAAATTGAATATAAAATCCATTAAAAAAAATCTATAATTTCAACTTACCCGATGATGATGATGATGATGATGATGATGATGAACCAGTCGATATTGTTGCCATTCTTATGTAATATATTCTCTGTGACTTTTATATTTTAAAAGTCCCAAAACACAAACCAAAAAAAAAAAACTGAATTTCCAATTATTTTGAATTTAGAATTTTTTTCGTGGAAAATTATTTACGCAAACTATTTCTTTCCAATGAATTTTTTTTCTCTGCCCCAACTTTTGACTTTTACACACGATTTTTACACAATATAAATGTTGTTGTTGACAAATGTTTACATGGAGAAAGAAACAAACTAATTATTATTTATTAATTCTCGATAATTTTGCACAAATTGAAGAAAAAAAAATTAATGTTCCTGATGCACGAAAATTTATAATTTAAAAAATCAGCATGATTAAGATGGTTATAATGATAATGATGATGTCGATGTTGATGATTTAGACCGAAAGAAAACAAAAATGACGAAAAAAGATTGAAAACGGAAACTAATTATTGTCAAAACAGAAACAAAAATAAAAAAAAAAAAGAGAATGCCGAATATATCAAATTTGTAAACAGAAAAACACTGTTTAAAAAAAGTGATCAATTATTCAATGAATCAATTCAATACGGTTTTTTTGTATTGATTCATTGATTAATCGAGAAAATAATAACATTGAAAATCAAAACGATGATAATGATGAGGATCACACATACACATACACATTGAACGTTTGATTGATTGATTGATCAGTTGATTGATTGTACCGATTTTTTTTCTTTTTCTGGCTCATTTCAATATTCAATATCAATAAAATATCATCATTTCATGATCGAACGATTAATGATCATCATGAATATTATTTTTCTTGGTTATTTTTTTTCGTAATATCAAGTTACGTACGTACAAACAGTCTAATCAATAAATGAATGAATGAATAAAATATTGCAATCGGAAATTGGATATTTTTTTTCAATTTGGCCAAGTTTACATTTCTGAAATGAAAGATAAGATTTCATTTTTTTTTTGTTTTGTTTTCATCAGGTGAATAAATAGAAAAAAGTAATTAATCGTCGAGGAATTGAATTCTTTTTTTCTCACTTGAATAATTCATCACATGAATAAATAAATAAAACAAACGAATGAATAAAATTCTTGTTGGCTTGCGGTTATTTATTTATTTATTTATATTGGAAATGTTTTGGTTTTTTCTTCTTCTTCACTTTAAAGAAAAAACACGGACAAAATAATTGAATCAAGAATTTTTTCTTTTCTGTTTGTCATCTCAATAAAACAAACAAAAATGGCCGTTTAAATGTCTGTCTGTCTGTGTGTTTGCGATAGACAAAACAAAAGAAAAATGAATGCTGAAAGTATGTTCATATTTCATTTCCACACACACACACACACACACTACACCTAATATAATTCCTTACGGTTGGCTGATGATGATGATGATGATGATGATATCACTATTATTTTCATTACATTACAAAGTAAGCGCGACCACCAGCAAATGTGAAAAAATAAATGAAAAAAAAGTCGATTTGTCATTGTCATTGATTTGGCTGTGAAGAGAAAAAAAAAAAGCAAATAACAACAACGATGACAATGATAATGTATTAATTATATTTTCATGTTAAAGATTTTTTTTTAAAAATATCGGGTAATTGAATTTCATCATCACCATCATCATCATTGTCATTAATATCCATGGCCAAACAAAGAAAACAGCATGATTTTTTAGAAAAAAAATCCCAAAACTCAGCTTACCTTGGCGTTTTTTTTTTCAAAGATGTTGTAATCCAAATGTGACAATTGAGATTTTCTATTTATTTCAATCAATACCAGCACTCATTTTATGATGATTTTTTTTGATGATGATTGGAGCGAATCAATAATCCGATTTTAATAATTCAATGATTTTCGTGCTAGGAAAAACATTTGACTTTATCAAATGAACAACATCATTTTCGGTGTGTAAGCAAGAAAACCGTTTTCTCTTTGAACAATCCGTCCCGGATACTGTTTTTGATTCAATTTACGATAAACAAGCTGTTGGAGCAAAACAAAAAATGTTCTTGTTGTTGTTGTTGTTGTTGTCAGTGTGTTTTTTTCCATTTTGTATGGCAAATTAATTTCAACACTAAAAAAAAAAACAAAACAGAAAAAAAATCCCATCAGGCAATGAGTTTCGTTATTTCATTCTCAACAATTTTTCATCATTTAAAATACAACAACAAGGTGGACGAGAGAAAACAAAACAAAAAAAAGTTTCATATAAATAATGACGACAATAAGGGAAGAAATATGGACAGAATTTTATTTGCACCAAACACACGCCCACACCCACTCACAAAAACGTTGTGGAGAAAATGAAAAATAATTTGCATCTTTAAAAATGAAATATGATCAAATGAAACGAAATGAATCAATCATTCATGTTTTTTATCAATTACACACACAACACGTTCATATGCATCACTTTCAATGTTTAGATTGTAAATAAAGTCAAAATAAAAATGAAAAACGGAATATATGAAAAAAAAACCGCTTGGACCTGAAAATGATTCTGCGGGCTAGATGATTTTTTTTTCTTTTAGTTTGTCCAAAAGTTTCTTTCTCGACACACACACACACTTATACCAGTGGAAAGGAAATATACCGTACAACAAAGATGACGACGACGACGAAAAATAAACTTATCGATTTAAACGTCAACGGTATACTGATTTTTAACATGAAACATGAAACAGTAAAAAAAAAATGTATTTCCAAAATGAAAAAAAAAAATTTCCATTCATCATCATCATAGACACACAGAAACAGTGATTGATACACCGGTTATATGACACACCAATACTATTCAAATATTCCATTTAATAAAATTTTCATGACAATTTTATTTTTCATTATTATTGCATGAAATTCGCTATTGAAATTGACAATTCTACATTGTTTACACAATAATAAAAAAAAATGACAATGATGATGAATTGTTGTTTTGTTTTGTTTTGTTTATTTCTTTGCATCTTTGTTTTCTCGTTTGTTTCTTTTTTTTCTTCTTTCACATGTCTATGTCAGAATAATGATTGTTTTATTTTTGGATCTATAACAGTAGATTGGCAGGTATTTATGGATGTTATTAGTTTTGAAAATCACATCATCCCCATCCATTCATCATTGGCATGAGTGTGTGAATTTTTGATATTGGCCTCGAATAAAAAAAAAATTGTAACAACAAACTTGAAATTGAAATCAAAAAAAAAAAAAAAATGAACGATAACAACATCAGATGATGATGAAAACTATACACTGAATAGAAGAAGAAAAAAAAAATTCAATTCAATGACGATTTTTTTTTGATGATCAATAATGATAAACTCGAAAATAACAACAACAACAACACAAACAAATAAAATCTATTTCCGATCAAAAAAAAAAAAAAAATGAAAACTTTTCTGTCATCCAATAAAGACCAATGACCTAAAGGCCATATTTATCGATTGGGAAAAAATTTTTTTTTTTTTTATAGCTATTAATAGCCAACAACAACAACAATAATAAACACACAATGTCGTTTCTCTTTTGCCTTTTTCTTTTTGTTTATAAATAATATAATAATAATGTAATGATGATAATTCAATGATGATGACGATACAAAGATCCGTAAATAATGATTGAAAATCGAAACAAATCGATTAATGAATGGAATGGGTATTGCTACCAATGGCGTCAAGTGTATACCTTTACTGGTGATAGTTAGGTTAGTTGGTTGATTGGAATGAAAGAGAGAAAGTATCCACTTTTTATGACAAATAATCAGATTTAGTGAGAGAAAAAAAACAATTGAACAGTTTTTTTTATGAAATTTTTATTTCGCTTGACCGCTATACCCAATGCTGATTATGATGGTCATGTGAAATTTTTATTTTATTTTCATTGTTTTCATCATCTCTCTTTCGCATGTCATGTTTATCTGTTACGTTCATTAGGTTGGTTGGTTGGTTGTACATCATCATCATCATCGTTCATTTTTTTTTCAAGTACATGATGCGAACAACGCCAAAGAAAAAAAAGGAGAAAAAAAATTTTCACAACACACACACACACACACAAAACTTACACATTAAAAATGAAAACTATTTGAATGATTGAACATGGAATGCAATATCTGATTTCGCTATTATTATTATTATTTTGGACTTTTTTTTCATCCATCATCATCATCATATATTGTTGTTGTCCAATATGTGTTTGTTTGTGATGCTATTTTTATGTATTCACAAACAAAGAAACCGAATAGTAACAACAAGTGTGATTCAATTCTCTATTATTATGTGTTGCTAAAATCATCATCATTTTTTTTTTGTTGCACATAAATAAAGCCAGTGTATGTATATATACATACATTGCTTGTATTTTTGTATTTATTTTATATACACGATTTATATATATTTGTATATTAAAGATTTAACTTTTTCTTGTCCAGTTAGTCGTCCATTCAGTTAGTCAGCCAGTGTGTGTCGATTATCGATATGATCACAACCACCACTATCAACCACTGTCCAATGATGACATAAATTTTTTATTTTTATTTTCATGTTAAACAAACATTGTGTGCCTTCATCAATATATATATAATATATACTGTTTGACCTGACCTAGCATCGATTCTTCTTCATTTTTATTTATTTATTTATTTATTTGATGATGCTGATAAGAATAGAAAAAAAAATTGAGTTGAATGTCTTGAAATTGCGATTTTTTATTTTATTTTGAAATTTTTTGTTTTTGTTTGTTTGTTTACCTCATAAAATAATTATATTTGTAGTGTATTGATAAACGTTTTTTTTCCATTTGGTGTGTCAAGTCAATCAATTTTATTTTAGCATGCATTCATTCATCCAAAGAAAAAACAAAAAACAAAAATAAAGCAACAAGGAAATAGAAGAATAATAATAGGACACATAAAACACAAAATAGAAGGAAAGGAAAAGCAAATTTGAAAATTTCATCAATTTCATCGTTTTTTTGTTGCATTATTTAAAAATTTGAAAGTAAAATTCAATCAATTTTTTCATGTGGATTTTGTTTTTGTTCTGATTCAATTTGAATAGAATCCGTTATTGTGTGGACGGCGGTGGTGGTGGTGGTGGCGGTGCCTGTGCTGATGATTGTTGCTGTTGTGTGGGTGGTGCTGGCTGTTGCTGCTGCTGATGTACGACCGGTATATTCATACCGGCGATATTGTCAACATTCAATGAGCCTTGACCTTGGTTGGCCATTTTTGCCGTACTTGTTTGTTGTTCAACAGTTATTGTACTACTTGTACCAGATGAACCAACATTACTCATTGGCATTGTTGTTGTTGTTGCTGATGGTTGTTGAACAGCTGCCGAAGGAAATTGTGGTGGAACTAGATTCAAAGCCGGTGATAAACTTTGATTACTAATAGCAATCGGCACACTACGTCCAGCTGTATCATCAGTAATCTGTAATGGTTTACGTGGTGCTTGTATACTAAGTATACCATCAGCCGATAATGTTGATGTTACCGATTCTGGTTCAACATCAGCTGGTAAAAGATATTTTCGTGAAAATTGTCTCGATACATAACCATAATTATCTGCTTTATCTTCATGTTTACCAGTAACAATAACAGCATTATCGACCATTTTAACAGATATTTCTTCCGGATTAAAATGTGACACATCAACCATGATCTGATATTTATCATTGGCTGGAATCAGATCACCGACCATTTGGCCACCACCGACACCAGCAACAGCATTTCCTTGTTGTAAATTTCCAACACCACCAGTTCGTCCACCACCATATGCCTGATCTAATGTATGCATTTGACTTGGCACTATCGGTGAATGTGGTGCAATCAATGGACTTCTCGGAGCACTGTCCATAAATCGATCCAAATATAATGAAAAAAAACAAAGTGGCAACAAATTAGAAAAAAAATAATGATTAATTAATTTAAATGAATCGATCAAATGAACTATTTGGCCATCCAAAACACACAAACACACTTACCCAAGTGGACGACGACGAACAAAATAATTGGATGGAAAAAAATCCTCTTCAGTCAATGTTGAACCAAAATGTGTATCGAAAAATGAACGTTCCGATGTCCAAAATGAATCCCAAAATGGATCACCAGTAAGTGGACGAAAATATCGGGACATTTCTATTTTTTGATTTGATTGGATTCTGATATTTTTTTTATCGTATCGTATTATGCAAACGCACGCAAATTCAATCTATCAAATCTATTTATCTGGTGCGTTTGTGTGTGTGTGTTAGTTATACAAAATCAATTGATATAAACAACCACGACGACGATAAACACACTATACTAGTCTTATGACAGATTCTGATATTTTTTTCTTAGTTTAGTTTTTTGCTGATGTTTCTATCATCGACAAATGAACAAAAAAAACATTCAAAGTTAATCTACTAGAATATTCTTTTTAGAAAACAAATAAGAATAAGAAAAGTAAAACTTCATCAACAACATAATAATAATAATGATGATGATGATGATTAGTATAGTGGTATTAAAATCTTTCGTATTTCAAAGTTATTTACAGAATCCGCGAATCATCATCATCATCATCATCGACAGCAACAACAACAACAACAACAACAACGAACGCTATCAACAATGATAGTGATTTTTTTCTTTGATATTTTGTTTTTTGTTGTTGTTGTTGTTGTTGTTTGTTTTTGCATTCTAGTTTCTTCATTCATTTATTCTACATTCAAACACACGAACACACACACACACACACACAACGACAAACATTGCCTGGTTCATATTATTTCAAACAAAATTTTTTCGGTTATATTGCGCTAGTGATGGAAACGAGAAAAATTTTCATTTTATTTATTTTGAAAAAAAACAAATTTTTCAATTCTTTAAATAGTTTGTGATTAGTGTGTGCGTGTAATGAATTCAATGAATTGATGCCAAAACAAGATGATGATGATGATGATGAAAATTGAGGGCGTTGTCGGTTTTGTTTTTTTTTTTTTTTTGTTTAATTTTACAATGAATTTTTCTTCTTCTTCTCCACTGATTACATCCATGGATATACGACTATTGTTTCACACATGTTGATGATGTTGCGATTTTCATATGGAATTTTAATGGATAAAAAATACGAAAAAGAATGCTACCTCCTCCATCTTTTCTCTCTTTCCCTCCCCACACACACACATTTAAACGACAACGCCATCTCGAGGAATAGTGATTTTGCAACATGATAATTTTGAGGAGGAAAAAAAATTCTTCCATCCACTTATGATGACATTAATAAAAAAAAAATCTTGATGAATAATGAATGAATGAATGATGATGATTACGATTTGCAATCAAACTGTGTGAATGTGTTGGTGACAAAAAAATCGAGTGGAAAAAAAAAAAATTTTTTTTTGGCAATCGTGTGTGAATCACATTTTTTTTGGATAATGAGATGATTTCTTTTTTCTTTTTTACGGAATTGACATCAAAGAAGAATCTAGTCTTGTGATTCCGAAAACATTTATAGAACAGCCACAATGACAGTCATCAATAAATTATACATTTTTTTTATTGTTGTTGTTGTTGTCGACAATGTTATCCATGCATTCATTTTCCACTTTCTTACATTTCCAATAAATAAACTGAATTTGATTTTTGATTTCAAAAATTCGATTATCTATATCTATATTTTATTTTATGTTTCAATGAAATCTACAATTACAGGAATGTAGTGAAATGAAAAGAAAAAAAATTTTCAGAAACTAACAGTAATCATGTAGCAATACACAGGTATTAATAGAGAGAGAGATAGAGAGGAATTAATGGATAAAAAGTGAATGAAATTGATTGAAGAAATAATTAGAAAAAAAAATTTAAATAATAACGAAAAATCAAAACAATAACAAGAAATGAGCAAACATCAATGATCATCAACAATAATATAAATCAATAACAGTTTGTTGACATTTTCACGTTCATAGAAAAAATTGAAAGATCAATAACTTCATCATACTGCAGTGAACAAACAAGTGAATTTTTTTTCTGTTTTACAAATATTTTTTTTTCGCTGAATAATCGATCGATCGATTGATTTTTATTTGAAAATAAATATCCGTAACATTCGTCCAAAATCAAATGTAACATAGAAAATTGCCGATTTTTGATGATCATCAACGGCCACATGTGTCAACGAATCTAATTGATTTTGATTCGATAATATTGTATCGATCAATATCTCATGATTTGATGATGTTGCTTCGGATTTTGGAAATTCTTTTGGACTTGCCACCGATATTGTATGCCAATGTTGGCCATAACGTTCATTCAATGTTTCAGTGATTAGATCACTTAATTCAACTAATGAACTTGCTTGTTTATTATGTATGATTGTTGTTACAATTTTTGTTATATCTCTCAACATATGTTGTCCCATTAATGAATCGATTACTGTTGGTGATTTTGATGCAGCTCTTCTCATTATGTTTCGTTGTACACTTTCCACACTAATTGACGGTATTGATCTTGAAGCTTTTTTTCCACCCCATTGTTGTTGATGATGATGTTTTCCATAAAATAACAAAAAAAGAAAACAAAATGAAATGAAAAAAAAATCAATCAGCTATTATTAAGTATTGAAATTCAAATTACAAAAATGGTAACTAACCTCAACGTTTTTAAAAAAATTTTGTTTTTGTTTTTTTTTTTTTTGTTTATATTCAATTCTCAATTTGTTTTTGTTTTTGTTTTGGCAAAAATTCACAATTTTCCCTTACCCTTGCTTAATTGATCCTTTGAATTGGATGATGATGATGATGATGAGGCATTATTAGTGGTTGATGCTTTTCGATTAGTACGGCTTGATTTTTTTGTTCGTTGTTTTTCAATTTTATTATGACTTTCTTTTTTATGATTCAATGATTTGAATGATTTCGATGATTTCGGTGATGATGATGATGATGATGATGATGATTTTTTTCGATAAATGACTCGATACAATACGTATTCGTTCACTTGGATCCACTAATAAATGTCGGCCATTATTTTTCAATACAATTTTTGCATTACTACCAACAATTGAATGTTTTTTCAACAATAATAATGCTTTCGATACTTCATTACGACGCATTTGTTTCATTTGATCGGTCATTTGATCAGAATCATCATCCGATGATGATGAGGTTACCGTTGTAGATGATTGTTGTAGACCATTTACAATCGTTATGATTGACAGTAATAATGTTATTAATAAAAATAATCTTATCATTTTGGTCCAAATAGTGATGACCAGTGATGATTGTGGTTGATAAATTTTCAACATTTTTTTCTGTTTGAATGAATTACTTGAACAAAAATGATGACAAAAATGGATGTTTTTTTTTCGGGGAGATCTGATTAGATAATTTTTTTTTATAAATGAAGATTTCACACAGTTAAATCAACACTTTGCTTTAGGAAATGAAATCAAACGAAAAAAAAAATTACAAAGTTTGTTTATTTTGGCTATTAAAAAAAATAAAAAAAAAATTAAACGAATGTAAAAAACAAACAAAATGATGATGGATGAAAAAAATTGTTTTCTTCACATTTTTTCTTGTTTCGTTTCTTCTTCATAAATGGTGAAATGGAAATTGAATTTTTAATGTGTCTCTGTGTGTTTGTGTGTCCACCAAAATGGTATGAATTAAAATGAAATGAATGTCGAGTTATATGACGATTCATATGGTTGATGGTTTCGATTTTGATATCTCAAACGTACGGTCTGAAGTGGATTTTTTTTCCCATCTTATAACCATCATCATTCCATCAAGACAAAGAAATCGTGATGATCATTATTATTGTGGTGAGTAAGTGAATAACCCAAAATGGATTGAGATTGAGAGAAAGCAAAAGCGAGAGAGGTAAAAAGAGAGAGAGAGAGAGTTATTATTATGGAGAGACAATATTGGCATCATCATCATCATCATCATCATTATCATTATTTTCTTTTATTGAAATTGAAAAAAAACGACCAAATTACGTTGTTTTTTTTTCTTCTTTCTAATTTGAATGTGTGGTGACTTTCTCTCTTGATCTCTTTCCATTTATATTTTGATTTTTGGACCATTTTGGGCGACACAGGCATACAACACAAAAGATGAATTTCTTGATTTTTTTCAAATTTTGATTCATCATCGATTGTGTCATCTCTTCTTTTATTATTATTATTATTATTATTTCTCTTCATCGATCTTCATCCATCTATTTTGATCCAAATGTTGAATTTACAATCGTTGTTTTTCTCTTTTTTATTTTTGATCGTTGTCTTTTTTTTGTTGATCAAATCCTGGTCAATTATAATCATTATTAACGGATTCAAAACCGACGAAAAATAAACTCGAACCTAAATGATAATGATAATTTAGCTTATTATCATTAATATTTTGGCTACAGAAACAAAAACAAAAAAAAATCCGAAAATACGAAAATACTTTCAGGGCAGACCATTATCAAATCAATAAAGATCATCATTAATGATGATTATGATTATCATCATCATCATCATTTTCTTCATTTCATTGATAAAGATAGAAAACGATGATGATTTTTATCGAAATCAAAAGCCAATGCCAAAACCTGAAACAACAAAAAAATTGTGAGCTTTTTTTTCTCCAAGTTACAATCACCCTTCTTCTGTAAGTCACAACAACAACAACAACAACCATTGAATTCATTAACTTATTTTGCTAATTTCTTATTAATTTATTCATATTTTTTTTTTACTTTCACGATTTAAACGGATTCGTTCGTTTGTCCATGAAAGGACCTCATGTTTGGAAATGGGACAAAAGGTTGAAACTTTTATATAGAAGGAAAAAAAATGGTAAGCAAAAAAAAACTGGCTGGTTTATTACCTAATTTTATTTCATGGGCCTCATTGATTGGCATGTTGTTTTGGTTTGCATCTTCAATGAAAATTGTTTCATATTAATTAATGTTTAGTACAAGATTGTTTTTTTTTTTTTTGAAGAAAATACGAAAACCATTTTTGTTAGCTGGCTATTTTGGCAAAGAAAAAAAAAATAAATAATTTTTTTTTTAGTTCATGATGGATTAGCGATATGATCATCCAAAATGGTTGGATGGATGTATCAAAGTAAAAATTTTGAAAATGACAATTTTTTTCTCGTTATTGCTGCTGCCGCTATTAATGATGATGATGATCCCGGCAGTAGATATGGCAGTGATTATGCCAAGAAAAAATGGTATCAAATTAAAAGGAAATTTTTTTTTTTTTTTTTTTAGATGACCAACTCTATAGTCTAATCTGTTTGTTTGTGAGTGGAGATAAGTTTGTTTGATTTTTTTTTTTTTTTTGCTATATTCATCTTCAATCTCCATGTCCATTTTGTTGTTATTACACAAGGAAACGGATTTCATTTCCTATTGCAAATTGAAAATCCATTTTTTTCTGATAGACAAACAAACAAACAAATAAATAATAAACGGATAGTGAATGATGATGATGACGGATAATGATAATGATGGTTTGATTTCCGTTTCGTTTTTATTTTCATCCAATCGACGATGGTCCGAATCATTTATTTATTGAAAATTTTTTCGAAATTAAAATCAGAATTGAATGATGAATATTTATTTTTAACACTTTGAAAACATCAAATAAAAATTGATATCAAACTATAAAACTGGCACATTATCATCACCAAAATGATGATAACAATGATTATTTCCCATATGAAATCCATTCATTCATTCACATTCAGAATGTGATTGTTAAACTCATCATCATCATCATCATCATCATAATAATAATGATGGTGATAATGGACACAGATGACCATTATTATTATTATCAACGACACAATATGATGATGACTTTTGATTTTTTTGTTTGTTTGTTTGTTTTTTCCATAGGAATAAACATTTGATTCAATTCAATTCAGTAGCTGAAAAAAATATTTTTGGTTGTTGTTATTTAAAATGTAAAAAGATTTTTTTTTTTCAAATTAAAGTGGATTGTGTGTGTGTGTCCAGTTTGGGACCACTTTTCATCATCATCATCACAATAAACTCTGAAAAGAAAAAGATAGATTGGAAAATAATGATTCTCAAAAAAAAAAAAAAAATCGTTGAAAATCTGGTCAGATCGATTGAATAAGATAATGGAAATGGAAATTGTAATAAAAAGATAATTTAGTCTCAATAGTCGCGTATTGTGGTAATCATCATCGTCGGTTTTTGTGTTTTTTTCATCGGAAAAAAAGTTCTTATCAATAAGAAGCATTCGAAATTGATCTGATTGATTATATATTAAATTGATTGATGTATATAGTACCATGCAAAAAAAAAACAATCGAAAACTAATAAGAATATAAAAAGAAACGAATAATCCCGAAAATCTTCCATCTTTTTTTTGATAAACAAACAAAGTGAAATTAGAAATAATCTAGAAAAAAAAAGATAAAGATAGATATTCGTTTTTTTTGGTCTTTTTTTTTCTTGTCATTTATTTATTTTTTTTTGTGTTGTCGTTTAAACACAAACACTTTTTTTCGAAACCAGAAAGATAGATGGCGATACCTGCATACACATACACGATTCATGCTAAATTCATCCAGTCTGTCTGTGTGTTGTTGTTGTTGTTTTTTGTTTCTGGTTGAAGAAAAACAAAAACAACGAACAAACGAAAAAAAAAACATATCGAGTCGTCGTAGATGTTGATGTTTATCCTTGAATGCTTCTCGTCCTTTGAAATGATCTTTTTTTCTCTCTTTCTCTCTATCTTTTTCTTTCGGTGTTTTTGTTTGTGTTCGTTGATATGATCGGTATATATGCCCGTTATCGTTTCGTTTCAAGTAATAACCTATCATTATCTTTCAGGATCAGATTTCAAATCTGGATTTGTTTCCCATTCATTTGATTCTGTGTGTTTTTGATATCGAAAAATCGAGAACAAATCAATTTGGTGTGATTCTTCGAAATCTTATTCTCCTCACGATAATTGATTCATAGTGTTTTGTGTTTTTTTTTCGGTCTTAAAAGAATTTCGTGGGAAAAAAAAATGTCATTGTGGATCGGTTGTACGGCCAGTACGGCAACCAAATTATTATCATCACCATATATGAAAAATGTAACACGAATTACAAGCACACCGTTTATTACGAAAAAGGTTTGTTTTCATTCAAATGAAACGATTTTTGTATGTAATTTAACGTTCATGTTTTATTATATTCATCCAGACTTTACAATCAGATAATCAATCAATTCGTTCATTCTATAATGAAGCTGAAACGAAAAAATATTTTACCCGAGCCCAATATGGTGGTCGTCATATGGTAACAGTATTACCCGGTGATGGTATTGGACCAGAAATGGTTCGTTATGTACGGGAAATGTTTAAGTAAGTGGTTTTTATTTGAACTTGAAAACAAACAAAAAAAATTTCATTCATTTTTTTGTTTGTTTGTCTTTGTTGCACAGAGTTGGCGGTTTCCCTGTTGATTTTGAAGAAGTTCAACTTGATTCACATAATGAAGATCCAGAAAATATGATCGAAGCAATCACATCAATTTTACGTAATGGTGCAGCAATCAAAGGAAATATTGAAACACGTGAACATTCAAAATATTTCTTATCACGTAATGTTGAATTAAGATTACGATTAAATTTATTCGTAAATGTTGTACATTGTAAATCAAATCCCGGTATTAAAACACGCCATAAGGATATTGATATTGTATTGATAAGACAAAATACTGAAGGTGAATATTCGTGTTTAGAACATGAAAGTGTTGATGGTGTTGTTGAAAGTTTGAAGATTGTAACCAGAGAAAAAACTGAACAAGTTGCACGTTATGCATTCGATTATGCACGTTCACATAATCGGAAAAAATTGACTTGCGTACATAAGGCTAATATTATGAAAATGGCCGATGGTTTATTCTTGAAAGTTTGTACCGAAATTGCTAAAGAATATCCGGATATTGAATTCAATAATATGATCATTGACAATTGTTCAATGCAGGTTTGTAACAATTTATTATTATTAGCATCACTTACCTAAAATTGATGTTGCTTGTTTATTGTAGTTGGTATCGAATCCAAATCAATTCGATGTACTATTGTTGCCGAATCTATATGGAAATATATTGACAAATATTGCTTGTGGTTTAGTTGGTGGCCCAGGCATCACATCTGGACGAAATTATGGTCCTACACATGCCGTTTTTGAAACTGTATGTTGTTGTTGTTGTTGTTGTCATATTGTACAAAATAATATTTTGAATTCCACTAAATGATTTTTTTTCAAAATAGGGCACACGTAATACTGGTAAAAAAGTAGCTGGTAAAAACGTAGCCAATCCTATTGCTATGTTGAATGCGTCTGTTGATCTATTGGATTATCTTCAATTAAAATCATATGCCGATATTGTACGTGATGCTATTTATAAAGCTATTAATATAGAAAAATTACATACATTAGATATGGGTGGTAATGCAACAACAAGTGATGTTGTTAATTTTATCATCGATGATGTTAGTTCGCAAACAAAAATTAAAGCCTATCAAGCACAGGCTTAATGGATTGTTGATGGATTATTATCATCGTCAGATTTAAAATCATTCAGTAATAAAAAAAAAGAGAAAAAAAAAAAAGATAAAAATTAATCACAAACAAATCAAATTTGCAATATTGGAAATTATTTATATCTTTCTTTTTTTTCAATCAATCAATCGAAAAAAAATGTTCAAATCAAATTCACTTTTGATCCAAATACAAACACCATACACACCACACACACACAAAATTTTGTTGTACAAAACACAAGTTTCTGGTACAATTATCATCATTATATATATGCTAAAAATGCATATTAGAATTAAATAAAATGAAAAAAAAGAAAGAAAAAACATCGTTTCGTATACGACAGAGTTATGAAATGCATGATGTTGTTTGAAAATAATCTGATTGATCTTGAAAATTTTTTTTTGTTTTGTTTTGTTTATTAATCATGGCCACCTAAAGGCGATATGGATAATTTAATCAGACACAAGGTTTTGAATTTTTGACCATGTGTCTGTGATGATTTTTCTTTTCTTTTGAATGTCATCATCATCATTATCATTTTCTTAATTTTTTTTTCTTTGATCATTGAAGTCTTACTCAATTTTTGTTGTTGCCGTTGTAATTGTCATGTCATAGCTATAGCAAAAAAAAAGGTCAAATTCATCAATATATGGCCTCTTTACATTTTTAAAATTTAATTTTTTTTTCTTTTATTTTATTATTTTGATTCATTCACAAATTAACCGAGAAAATTTTTTTATTTTTCATTCCAAATCTAGACAGAAATAAGAGAAGAAAAAAAAGTGAATAGTAAAACACATCAAATCACACAATTAATCATCAAATTATCATTATCATTATATTTATGTATAAATATAATGAATATACCCCAAAAAAAATGTATGTCAAATGTATATGTAAATGTCTGCATAATGAATCGAAAATGTCAAAATAGAGTACGGGGAAAACTGTTCTGTTGATTTTTGAAATGTGAAACAAACGAATGAGAAAAAAAATCCGATACATAATAATAATTATTATGAATTATTATAGCCGTTAAAATAGATTTGGAAACATCAAAACGGAAAACAGTTTTTTTCTTGTTTATGGAAAGTCATTATTATTACATATTATTACGTACAGATGTATCACCTATTTTTTTATATATATATATAAAATATAAATTGTGTATGTGGTAATTGTAATTTTGGACAAAATGTGGTTGTTGTTGTTGTTGTGTTTTATTAAGTGTGTGTATAATGTGGTGAAAAGTATTGTTCACAGAAAATCAGAATACAAAGAATCTATAGAACAGAATAAAAACAAAACGATTTAACATGGATATTATTAGAAGTAATTGTGTACGTGTGTGTGTGCAAAGCTCATTTTTCTGTTATTATTTTGTTTTGTTTCCACTATTTTTATAGTTATTGACGATGATGATGATTTGAATTGATTGATATGCGCGATCATTTTGTATATATTGTCTGTGTGTGTCTGTGTCTGCGTGTGTCAATGTGTGTTCATGTTCATCTTGATTATTGTTTGTTTGTTTTGTCGACCATTTTATTATTATTGTTGATTGATGGATTACTTTTTACTATTATTATTAGCCGTACTATTAGTGGTATTGATCAATGAATTTGTTGTCAATCGGTTTATATTTGTTGCTGATGATAAATTGATTGTATCAATTGTTGATGTTGCCGTTGTAGATGGTGTCGTTTGATGTAATATATAAATATTTTGAACAGGATTTATTGATGAAAATGGTAATAAAAATGTTTGACCATTGCCTTGAATTGTAGCCAATGGAATGGTCGTAAATTGTTGTTGTTGACCATTTCCTGTCATCGATGTTGTTGTCGATGATGATGATGATGATGATGACGATGGTGATTGTGTTTGTGTTGAATTAATTGATTGTAATTGTGTAATATTATTATTATTACCCGTTGATGATGTTGTGACTTGTTGTAATTGTTGTTGTGTTGCAATTAGATTCGTATTTAAACCAGTTTTACCTGGTTGAATCTGTATAGTTTGATATGATTGTTGTGTTGATTGATTAGAAGATTGTTGTTGACCAGTGGCTGCTGTTGTTGTAAATGTTAATGGTACAATAATGGATTTTTCATTCGATCCTGTTGTATTAATTTTAGCTGTAGTCGAACCACTTGCAATGGCATTACTTGCTGCTTGACGAAATGCTAAGTAAAAAAAACAAATTAAACATATGGATAGATGAATCGAATCAAATTACCAGCACTATTGATAACACTATTCAATGTTTTCAATGTTTCTGGATTACAAATAATTTGTCCATGATGTTCAGGATTTATTCCATTTAATATAGCAGTGAACTTTGGTGGTTTAACTGTCGTCACATTATTATCCAGTTCTGTAGATTTTAATTTATTCGTTTGAAGATTTTGATTAATTATGCTTGCAGTATTGGTTTTCTGTTTGTTGTAAAAAAAATAAAACGATCATAAATCGATAGTATCGAATTATCATTATTTTCTACTCACATTTAAAATTCCAGCTGTATTTGTAATGGTAAAACTTTGTGTTACGCCACCAGCCTGTTGTTGTTGTTGTTGTTGCTGCTGTTGCTGTTGGTGTATACCTGTTTTACCGATTGTAACAGCTGTTGTTGCTTTTGCTGCCGATGCTTTATTAACCGTACGTGAATTTGTACGTGTTTTAGTGATATTCGGTTGTTTTTGCGGCACGTTTGTTGCAGAATTTGATTTCGATACAAAAGCTATCGATGTTTGATTACCGGTTGTTGTTGTTTCGGTTTTTCGTTTATTATGCTGATATGGATGTACTTTTTGCTCCAAGGTTGTTGCTTGTGATAACGAGATATTGTTCGATACAGAATTCGGATTATTGATTGTCTGATAGATTACTTGTTGCACACCGTTTGATATTTCATTCAATTTTATCGATTGTTGTTCTGTTATTGGTCGATTGGTCTGTGATGGTATGGTTTGTCTTAGTTGTTGTTGTTGCTGTGTTTTTGGTGTTTGTTCCAATTCATCAATTAAATCGACAATATAATCTGGAACATTCTGCGAATCGGTATCAAAATTTACGTTCTGTATGGACATATAATCAATTGATGAACCATTCATTGATGTTTTCTTTGTTAATAAATCACGATTTTCATAGCTATTAATCAAATCAGCTTTTATATTTTCAATTATATCTTTTTCACTGCAAATTCCATTTGTCGATGGTGATATTTGATTGAATGATTGCTGTTGCTGTGGTTGCAGTGATTTATCATTCGATGAAGACATTAAAAATGAGTGAATACCGGTCACCTTATCATTCAAAATATTCGGTGATTGTATGGTTGTTGATGATGACAATGAGGATGATGATGATGATGATGTCGATGTTGTTGTTGTTGTTGTTGATGTTGATGTTATGGTAGATGTGGTTGCTGTTGTAGCAATGGCAATATTAGGTCCCATCATTTTGGCAAAACGAATTTTGGCAGTTTTAGGTTTTGGTATGGTTAACGTTGATTTATTAATAATTGATGATTGTTTAAATGCTAAAATTTGTTGTTGTTTTTGTTGCTGTGCATTAATCATCGTTACATTTTTATCATTAATTAATGAAATTGTTGGTCCATTAGTAGCAGTGATGATGTTATTGGCCGATGTGACAATTGTTTGCGTTGATTCGCTGGTCAATTGATTTGCCGTTCGTTTTGATTTTTTAGATTTTGAATCTATTTTTTGGGAATGAAAAATTTTATTAATTTTAATTCATTCAATTTGAAAATAATTACCAGAATTCGTTTTCAATAATGATGTCGTCACCAATGGTGATGATGAAGATGTCGTCGATTGATCTTTTGTATTCATCATTATTTTCGCTTTCGGTGTTGATGATGATATCGTCGCAGTCGTTGGAAGAATCGAATTGTTGGTAGTCGTTGTCGTTAACAAAGTTTTCGTCGATTTCAACAATGATTTTGTTGTCGTTGTGTTCTCAATATTTGATTTCGGTAGTTGTTGCTGGTGTATTATTCCTAGAGATGTAGTGACAGGATGTTGATGAGATATTGATCGATTTATCGGTTTACCTGCTGCAGCTGCTGTTGTGGCTGTTGCTGTCGTCGTCGTTGTCGTTATTGATAATGATCGTTTCAACATTGTAATACCAGAATCTTTGATATTTTTAACAATATTAGCCGATTTAGACATTTTCGTTGGTTTCAATATTGTTATACCTTCACGTTTTATCTTGATATTTGTCTGTTGTTGAACATTACTATTGCTGTTGTTGTTGTTGTTGCTGTTCGCACCGATTTTTGTCGTTACCATTGATTGCGAAACATGATTAGGATAAGAAAGTGGTTGTTGTTGTGGTGGTGGCGGTGTTACCGTAGCTGTTGTTTGTTTCAACAATGTAATGCCACCTTCTTTGACAAATTTGACCGATGTTGGTAATGTTTTCATCGGTGATTGATGATTTGCCAATATTGCTATCGATGATGAATTATTATTGGATGTTGTCGATTTATTTATAAATGTCGATGAATTTTGTTTCAAACGTTGTTGTTGTTGTTGTTGATGTGAATCTTTTGTTGATATCAATTTCTTGACATCATCCATGACATTTGAAAATTTCGTTTTCACATTATCATATGGATTCATTGTAATACCGGCTACTAATGGATGATTATATGGATCAATTGTTGAATTTAATTTAAGCTTTTTATTTGAATCGGTTGTAAAATAGATTGGAAAATCTTGATTCTTATATGTTGATTGTACAGCAGCTGGACGTGGATAATGATCAATAAAAGCAAATCCGGTCATTGTTTCCGTTTGTATATGATTATGACGACGCCGTTGTTGTTGCAGATAATAATGACGTTGTTGTCGTCGTCGTCGTAGTCGATGATGTAATCCTTTCTCAATTGATTCACTTAATAATATCTTATTCTTACGTGATTCTTTTACATTAGTTATTTTCTGCACTTTTTTTGCCAATAATTCTTTATATTGTAATAAACGCTGTAATTTATTTGCCGCATCTGGACATGGGTCAATCAGAATATTTTCCTTTAAACATGGATATTCAATTGATTTGAATAATGTACGTATGAATTGAAATCGTTCAGGAATATTATCATTATTAATCGATATCGGAGAGAATAAACGTAAATTGATATTTTTTATCACTTTATTCTTTATTGAACGTTGTTGTTGTTGTTGTTGTTGCTGCTGCTGCAATAATAAACTTCTTCGATCATTATTAATTCGTTTATCTTTATGATGAATCACATTTAAAGATTGACTTTGTTGTTGTATTGGACCATCCAATAATAATTTTGCCGATGATAATACCGATTTGGAATTGTTTGAAATTTTGGCCTGTAATGAACGTTTTATCGTACTAGTTAATGGTATTGGTGTTCCATTCGATGATAACCGTTGTTGTTGTTGTTGATGTATTGCAATTACATTATTCGATAATGTTGTTGTTATTGTTGCTGTTGCTGTTGTTGCCGTAGTCTTAGGTTTATTTCTTGGTTTACGATCACGACGTTCTTTCATACCACGTTCTCTTTTATATTCACTTAATAATTCATCAAATGGTTTTGATCTACCAGATACATTACGCCGTAATGAGATCATATGAGATCGACATGTTAATGATCGTGTACAAGGCCTTTCCATATTGGCTAATTGTACACCACAATGTTGATCAGGATCATATTCACGATTTTTACACAAAACAATTGAACGTTTCTTTGGTACCACTGGGCTAGGTGGTGGTGGCATCAACATTGGTGATGGTGGTTGTGATTTCATTTTCGATACCGATGTTGATGTTGAACAATTTGTTGTGATTGATATGGCTGTTGTTGTATTATTAATTATATTACCACCGTTTGTATTCTTATTATTATAATCATTATTCAGATTCTGTTGCTGTTGTTGTTGTTGTAATACATTCAATGATGTTGTTGTTGCAGTTGGCGCTCTTGTTTCATTATTATCCGTAACCATCTGTCTAGTAATTGATGATAACATTGATGTTGGCACCATGATTACTTGTTGCTGCTGTTGACCACCAGCACCAGTAGTGGTTGTTGCAGTTATTGCTACCGCTGTTGCAGTATTACTTGTTGCATTATTATTATTATTATTATTTGGTTTAGATTTTTTCGCAACAACATTTCCTTGAATATTTCCACCAGGTGATAATTGTGATGGTGATAATTCTGATGCAGTACGTTTTGTCGATGTTCGTAATAAAGAATTTAAATCTTTAGATTTAACCATTGTAGTCGTTATTGATTGATTTGATGATGATGATGATGCAGATGATGATCGTACGAGAATTTCATGAAATTTTAATACATTTTGACCTGTTGTATTTGATGATTGTTGTTGTTGTTCCAATTCTGCATTAACATTAATACTTGTAAGATTACCATTGGATTTATTGCCATTAGATTTATTTAAAGCAGATACAGGTAAAACTTGATTTCCACTTGTTAGATTACCACCACAATAAACACCTTTAATAACGGCGAAATTTCCACCACCACCACCGCTACCAACACCATTACCAGAAGTGTTTACATTAGATGTCGATGTCCAAAACATTGTCGATTGTTGTTGTTTCGATTGATTATTGTTTGATTGATTTTTTCGACGAATTGACGATACTTTTGTCGATGTAGATGGGTTAACTACTGGCCCAAGAAATTCTACTTCACCACCGAATGATTTCAATGATGATGATGTTGACGACGATGATGATGATGATGAAAATGATGATGATGGAACATCGGTAATTTCAATAACATCATCATCATCATCATCATTTACAGGAGATGACTGTAATTTTGCAACGGTTGAAGCTTGTTGTCGACGCATTGGTTGTGATCTTGAAATATTTTTATTACCACTCGTTTGTTGTTTATTCATTGATTTTGTATGATTTGAATGCGTTTTACCATTATGTAGAACACCAGTGCTACCATTCATTTGAATGGTTTTATTTACAGTATTACGACTTTTAGTGCTAGTAACATTGGTGGTTGTCGTTGTCGTCACCATCGATACATTCGATTGTGGAGTAAGATGGCCATTTTTCATTGAATTTTCATTATTATTATGAAATATTACATTATTGGTGGTCGTGGTATCATTATTTGCAGACAATGAAAATTGACTATAACCATTTATTAAATCTAAATTTAGTTGAAATTATAATGAAAATAAAACATTGATTAGAAAATAAACATTGATCTGATGGATTATCAAATCAAATGATAAATTCATCTAAATCATCATTTTCTTGATTCTTACTTGAATCTTCATTATTATTATCGTTTATGGACGTTACACGTGGAACCATATGTGGATGACGTATTTCTATATGTATATAGCAGAAAAAAAATGATAAAATTCAATAATTCATTATAATCAATTTACCAGAATAAAAAGAAAAGAAAAGAGAAAATACATACCGGTATGACGACGAAAAGCACTGGCTTTAATTAAACGATTACATGCTTTACATTTTACTGTTAATAATGGTTCATAATCCGGTCCACGGCCAAATAAATCAACATCTTCGATTGGTAATTTGGTACAATCACTTGCAATACTTTTGTTGCAGAATAAATTATCATCGATTTGAGCTGGAATTTTTTTTTTTTTTTTGAAACAAAAAACAAAATGAAATTTAGTTTTGTTTTGAATGGAATTTATTTACCATCATCACTAAGTAATTGATCAAAGTTTAAATCGGTCCACGTTTTTCCAATTATATTATCCATTATTATCGGTGGTGGATTCGTATTGCTTTGTTTGTTTTCAATATCATCATCATCATCATCATCGTCATCATCTAGATTGATTAGATTAATATTCGACGATTCATTCAGATGGATTTTATTCAACGATGAACGTATTGTTTTGATATTCATATTTGAATTTGTCGATGCCATTACATTATCACTATTGATCATCATCATTTCATCATGATCATTTGTAGATGATGTCGATGTAGGTGTGGCTGTCGATGATTGCGATATAGAACATAATTTGATTGGATTACCCATCATAATAATATTGAAGATTGAATGATGATTTCAATTTAATCATGCAATCTCATTGGAATTATTATGATGATGATGATGATGTGGAACATAAAAAGACTAATAATACATATAATATAACGACAGCCGAAAAAAAAAAATTTTTTTTGTCGATTGAATATTGCTATTTCTATGGAAATTTGTTTTTACTTTTTCCAGATCATTATCAGAATTATAATAAAAAAAAAAATACAACACGATGAATCACAATTATTATATATCATAAAAACAACAAAAAAAAATTTTTGATTTCAATGAAAACACAAAATTTAAATAATACGTAGATGAAAAAAAGGGTTATGCTGGTGATTTGTTTTTTTTTTTTAAATGGCTAAAATCTCGATACAGAATAATAATTTGAAATTAAAAGGACAATTGAATAAATAAAAAGAAGAAAGAAATCACAACCAAAATATATGAGGATGATGATAATGATGATGATGATGATGGGGTGAATTTAAATTTTCTGATTATCTGATTATTATTATTGTGTTTTGTTTTGGTTATTTTTGTGAAAGATAAGAATTTTGTTGTGTTTTTTGTTTTAATTTATTGATTATTGATATTTTAATGATTTTTTTTTTTACAAAAAAAAATATTGAGTAGATGTTTGTTTTATTATTTATTCTTTTTACTTCATTCTAACTTTTTTTTTCTTCTCTCAATGCCAATGCGTTTTTCAAGACATCATCATCATCATCATCAACAACACATGCCAACGAGCATCAAAATCATGAAATCATTACATTATGTGATCAAACAATCAGAATTGAGCATGCGTCCAAAAATATACATTGTTCTTTTGTTTTGTAGCATTTATCTATTGGGAAGTGGTTTTATTTTGTATTCAAACAAATTCATATGAGATTGCTATGCTACTACTACTGATACAGCTACAATTTGATTAACTTTGATCGATGCTTCTATGTGTGTTTGTGTTTAAGAGAGCGTACATGTTTTTTTTTATTCACGTACACTACACACACCCGACATCTGTTGGTTTGGATTAAAACTTTTTATTATTATTTTTTTTTTTTTTACAAAATGACAAACATTAATGATTTCTGTCTATTTTTTTTTATACTTGTTGTTGATCATAACAATAACAGAATGGTTTTAAATCACGTTGTGTAATACAGGATGATTGTTGTCCATATTTATTGATACGAGTAATTTGGCCACTTTCAACGATCCAATGATCTGGATCATTAGCTGTACGATATAATCGACTACGAAACAGGCCTTTTGATGGTTCAACCAATATGGTTAATTCAATCTGTTGTCTATAATTACGATAATGTACGGTTGCTGTACTCGGTAGAATTTGCTTGATAAAGAATAAAAGTAGAAAAAATGTTTTGAAACAATTTACAAAAATCGATAATATTTACCTCAGCCAAACGTGTCTGATTAAGAACAAGTCGATGACAAACTGATCGATAATCAATGAGTATTTCATTAAGATAATCAACTAATGCATAGGATGCATCAGTTATTAATGATGAATTTGTTTCCATCATTATATGTGAATCACATGCACAATAAAGATCCGGAATCAATGCTGTTGAACAATTACGATTCAATGGAATTGTTTCACGCCATGGTGAATAACGTGATCGAATCGTGGACAATTTATCATCATCATCATCGTTATTATTATTGCTATCGATACTAGTATAGTTTGCTAAATGGAAAAAAGTTATATTTACATTTCTCTTTTCTTTTTTGTTTTAAATTGTTTTACCATTTAAAATATCATTAAGCATTACATTAACATCTAGCCAAGTTGCTAATCTTGATCGATTCATATCAAGATATTTAGATAGATTCTGATGTTTACTATGCAATTGTTCAGGTAAACGTATCGCAAACAATGGCATTCTTTCCTCGATACGTCCAATCTGTGTTTCCAATACCGAACCAAATCGATTGCCGTGATCACCCATCAATATGACTATTGTATTATTATCAAGTGAATGTTTTGTTTGTTTAAAAAATTTTGCCAAATGGGAATCAATCATTTGTGCAGCGTTAAAATCATTATGTGTGATTTCAATATAGAAAAAGAAACCAAAATATGGTAATGATTGCTGTTGACATCTTTCAATAAAATGTTTTGTCTGATCAAGAAATATATCTATTTTAGGCACACGATTTTTATAACAATGATCTATATCGAATGGTTCCATTCTTGTTCGGAAAGTATTGTATTCTTCAAATAAACGTAACCAAAATGGTCGTGGATAAAAATCTGTCGGTTGATGTTTTGTGAATCCTTTTGATTCATAATTAAATAATGAAAATTTTGGATAATCTTCCACCAATGCTGTACGATAACCTTTCTGTTGAAATTGTTTCCAAATCAATGGCCAATCATCATATGGGCCATAATTATCATTCCATAATTCATTATTATATGCCCGTTTACCAGTTAATAATGGCACCATATTTGGAAATGAATTGTCAGCAATTTTGTTCAAACCATTTAGATAATATAAATATCCATAATCATTCTCTAATATGTTTCTAGTTTGATTTAGATAACGTTGATAATTTAATCTTGACAATGATTCAATAACAAGTATAAATACAGATATTTCATCTGTCATTGTTGTTTTTGTTGTTGTTGATGATGATGATGACTTTGGATTTTCATCCAAATTCGAATAATGAACAGTATTTTTCTCATTAATATGGACATTTTTGATGGTTAAATTGTCATCATCATCATTGTTGTTGTTGTTGTTGTTGATTTGTGGATTAAACCAATAATGAAGATTTTCATAATAATTTCCATTCAATTGATGATGACATTCAATGTATATGTAATTTTCTTTCAATAACAATTGCAAACCATTATGAATGTCAAGTTTTTTTCTATCACTATATAGTGGATATGAATCATCGGTTAAATTTTTCCATATGAATTGATAATTGCAATCATATTCGGTATTGTTTTGCCGTAGCCAACCACTTTTTACATAGGTTATTGGCTGAAAATATTGTTGTTGATCACATTCAATTTGTTTTGGACGTAATTCTAGATATTTAATTATTGACTGATCAAATGGACCAAATTGATCGATTGGTAAATGACATGATTGATCATAACTATTTGCTGTTTTTGATGATGATGATGATGGTAATTTTGATAGATAATTTTCGAGAAAAAATTGATATTTATTACGATAATCATTCAATAGATAAAGGAATAAAAATGATGAAATATTCAATACAACTAATGTTGTTAATAATAAACGCCAATATTTTCTTGAAATTTTTATTTTCATCGTTATTATTACAACGTTTGCTGTTGAATACAAAGAAAAAATGAATTTTTAGCAATTTTTTCAGAATTGAAAATTTGATATTCAAAGAAAAAAAGGCTGGAAAAAATCACAAACACACACACACATCGAAACAAGAATGAATTATAATCAATGAGAATAATTTATTGATTAATCACAATTTATTTACAATTTTTCATTTTTTTGTATTTTTTTTTTTCTCAATCGACACCACGATCACTTCAAGAACACTTCTATAGAATCCAATGGTAACCAAAATAGTGATTTTTTTTATCGCCAACTTTTTTAACAATTGAAATTTTTAACTTATTCTTGGTTTTCTGATGAAAATAATCAATGACAATGATGATGGTGATGATTAAAGTGTATCATTTATTTCAAAAAAAAACAGCAGAAACAACATTGCATTACATTAAGTGCTCATCTTTTATCTAGCTTTATCATCATCATTATGAATGATAATCTTGTTTTTTTTCTATTGCAATACTAAACAAACGATGACAAACGAGAATGATGAATTGGATGACAGTCAAATGTTTTTAACATTCGACATTTTCTGTTCTATATTTAATTAATAATTGGTAATAATTTATAAATTCACCTGTTGATGTTTCAATATTGATGATGAGGAAAATAATCACAAATTTATTGATCCAGAGCCATTGACATCATGAAATGATTATTGTAATCTTGATCAAAGTACAGATGTACTTGATCCAACAAGAAAAAACACACACACACAAACAGACATGGTAATCATGGAATAATATTTCTTCTTACTTTTTTTTTCTTTTTGCTAGTGATTCTTGATTTATTTTTCTTCGGTTGCTGTTACTGTTGTTGTCATTTTGTTGGAATCGAAATTCGGATTTTTTTTTTTTTTTTTGGTTCATAAAAAACAAAGAGGAAATCTGTGAGCAGATTAATGTGGTTCTGTAAGGTGGAGTTCAAAAAAGAAAACAAATTTGAATTGAACAAAGAATGAGAAAAAAGAAACGAAAACCGAATGTCAAACATGCATCATCATATTTTTCTGTCGTTGACTTTTTTTTTGTTCTCTCTTATCATTAGTTCAGTTGTGAAAAAGAGACAGAGAGACAGAGAGAGAGAGAAAGGAAGAAAACCAAAAATTCAAAAAAAAACGACGATAATGATTCCAATGGCAACCAGTTTTCTTTCTATGGTTCATATCACCATATGGTAAGCGTTGAGCAGATAAACAAAAACAAAAGAAGAAAATGACGATGGCGATACTCGTTATTGATTTTTATTTCATTTTTTTTTGTATAAAAAGTTTTCTTTACAATTGAAAAATTCAAAAGAAAAAAAAACTGAATTTTTATTCCACGTTTTAATATGGAATATTCCAAATATTAATCGTGATATATAAAATATTTATTAATAAAAAAAAAGTCAATCAGACACAATACAATGTTTGAGATGAGATGAATAAGAAAAAAAAGAGAGAGAGAGAGATATTGAGAGACCGATGAATGAATGAATGGTGACCCACAATATGACAAAAAAAACCCCACAGAAAAAAATGATAAATAAATAAAATTCAAAGATTAAAAAATTGATGAAAATTGAAATGAAATGAATAAATATAAATTTCTTTTTTTCATATTGATGTTTTTTCATATTTTGTTTCGTTCATCAATTGAGATAATCAGCCAATAGATTATAAAGGTCACAGGATTCATTATGAAAATTATTTCCCATACGCATATTACCGGCTTTTAATTGCATAAATTTTTTTTGTTCCATCGTTGTTGGCTGCCATTTTTCATTGAAATAAGTTTCAGGCATTTCACTGACGAAATCGCAATGATTTTTTTTTTGATTGTTTTGAAAAGTTGATGTTGTCATCGATGGTGATGACAAAATAAAATTCAAAAAAAAAACAGAGAAAAAAGAAATGGAAAAAAAAGATAAATAATCAATCAGACCCAAAGCAATCAATTATCAATTATATAATTTATGCTTTTTTTTGCTTTGTTGTCATCATCATCATCATCATTTGAATAATACAAATCAATAAAAACAAAATTCACTTACCCAGTACGTGCAAAATGTGTCCATGTTTTAATCATAACACTGCTTACATTACGATCATCATCATTATAAAATAATGGATAACGTAATGGATGTCCCATTATGAAATTGATTTCATCATGATGTGTTACCTGCATCCATTCACCCCATTTGCTATTTTTTGAACGTTGCGCAAATAGATATAGATATGTTGTCGTATTTAATGATAATAATTTATCAATAAATTGATATGTAGGACAAACAAACATAACATCACTGAATAGATCGGCTACTTTACGTGCCCATACTATTGGATTATTATTTTCCTCTTGATCATGATCATCACCACGTATTAAAAGATTTGCCATTGCTGTTGATGTTGATTCTTTCAATCCGGAATCCACGCCCATTGTTACAACACTTTGTCGTACTTGTTGTAAATGTCTATGTTTTGGTACATCATGTCGTGTATAAATTTTTGGATATGACAAATGTAACATTAATGCACCTTCATTTAGATTAAAGCCTATATTGTTGCCCAACATAAGAAAAGAGAAGAAAAGAAAATAGAATTATCAAATTGAGAGATTAATCATCATCATCATGATTTGGAAAGATTATTTTTCTGAATGAAGATTATTTTGTTTCTCACGCATTGATTCTATGTCTCATCATCATCATCTGCATCATTCGGTCATTCAATTTTGAAATAAGCGGATTAATGAAATGGAAACAAACAATACATTGGAAATTCATATTTTGTTTGCATTATACTCACCCATTAGAACTTGTTTTTGCCATATTTTTGTCGATTCATTATAATCACCAATTAAATTTTGTATATATTCACTTGGTATTGTTGGCATAAATGGTACTGGATTATCACGAACAATTTCATCTTGTGCTTTATAAATTTGTTCGAATGGTGTCTGATCAATACAATCGATGATTGGCTCAGGATCATCATATATTGTTTCATTACCTTTTTCATAGCATCCGATAATTTCGGCAAATTTTTCCGCTACAATTTCACCACGTGTAAATGCATCTTTCAATAACATTGGTGAACCACTTTGTAATATGGCACGTTGAAATAAACGTTGTGCTGGTGATGCAAACATATGGAAACCGATGGAAATCGAACCAGCCGATGTTCCAAACAATGTTATGGAATTTGGATTACCACCAAAATAACGAATATTATCATGTATCCATTTTAAGGCCATTGCTTGATCAAATAAACCCATATTACCAGGTATACGGTCAGAATCAAGATCTAAAAAGCCGAATATACCCAATCTATATTGAATGGTAACGACGACGACATCACCATGTGCCGCCAACATTCGGCCATCATATTCATCAACACTGATTGAACCAATTGTGAATAATCCACCATGTATCAGAACCATAACGGATTTATTTCTTGAACCAATTGGACTCCAAATATTCAAATAAAGACAATCTTCCGACACATTTTGATTGATAATATGTACGGGAAACAAACGTTGTGTATATTCAGATTGTATACATGGTGATGGAAATTCAGTTGCATCTTTAATACCGGTCCATTTACGTATTGGACGTGTACGACGAAAACGTAATTTATCGATAGGTGGCTGGCCAAATGGTACTGATAAAAATGTTTGCACTTCAACACCATTAACATTTTGCACAAAACCACGTAAACGACCTAATCTTGTTCTTATGACCATATGTCTTAATATTTGTGTTTCACCAAGCACATAATTTTGATCATCATCATCATCATTATTAACAATACCGATGATGTTATCAAAATCACCACGAAAAAATGATTTCACTGAATGACTTACATATGTGATTACATGATAATTATTAAATGCTTGATAAACAATCACACCGACGATTAGAATTAGTAGAAAATATCGTAGAATCAGACTAGATATACTGCTATTATTAGCATCATTATTATTGCCACAATCATTATCATCACAATGATTTGTTGGGCATTTTTTACCATTACGTTTTCTTTGAAACATTTTGTGGTTTAATTTTTTTCTGTTTTTATTACCGTTTTTCTTTTATATTTTTATAATTTTCAAATAAATAAAAAAACAAAACATTTACACTGAACAGTGTGGCAAAACGAGAGAAAAAAAACTTTTTTGCACACAAACACACACACACACACATTTATTTAAAATTTTGTTATTGAAAAATTATTGAATGTCATCAGAACAAAAAAAAATAATAAACAAATTCGTCGTTTGTCGATTGCCGATGTTTTTTTGTTGTTGTTAATCGATCAAAGTTGAAATTGAAATTGAACGTTGATGATGATGATGATGATGATGAAAATTTGAATGGCTTTTTTTTCGTTGTTGTTGTCGTTTTCAACATTCGTTGTCTGTCTCTGTGTGTGACAATGTGTTTATTATGGATACAGAAATTATTTTCCACTTGGATTTTTTTTTTTTTTTTTTCATTCAATTTCAATAAATAAAATGAATCGTTTGTTTAGCCAGAACAACAGTAACAACAAAGTTTATCTAGCCATAGCTTGTTTGAATGAATGAATGAATTAGAATGAAAAAAGACGCGCGCGTTTTTGTTGTCTTTTTTTTTCTTTGCAAAATCTGATTTTTAAAAAATCATTGGCTAAGATTTTTTGTTGTTGTTGTTGTTGTTGTTGTGTGTGGACAAATTTCTTTTTTATATATCGTTTTTTTTCGTTGAGAAAATTATTATCAATTCACAGTGTGTGTGTGTGTGTGTGTGTGTGTGGAAACGAATGAATGAATGAATGAATGAACGGATGGATGGATTTTTTTTTCTCTACCTGATGATAGTACGTACGAATGAACGAACCTTTACGTACGTACCTAAAGCGTAATATATACACAATATATGTATATAATTCAATGGCAGCTCTTTTTTTTCCCCATCATCATCATCATTATTATCATTATCATTATTTCAGGCTATTTCACAACATTGAAAATTTTCTGACACACACACACACAATATCATATTACAAACACATCCTTTTTTTTATATTTCAAATTTTTCTTTTCTTTCCCAAATCATTCGAATTAATTCTATCTATCGAAATTTCCCTTGTAGGTAAAATAACAATTATAATAATAAAAAAAAAGTAGTGAGAAAATCAATTGTAAATAAGTAATTATGATAATTATTATACAATACACACACAAAAATAAATCAATAAATGACTATTGGCATGGATGTCATCATCATCATCATCAACTTTGATTTTAATCGATGTATTACTGTATATATAATTATTTTATATCGATTTGTTGTTGTTGTTGTTGTCGGTTTCATTAGTATATGAGACAATAAAGTGGAATGACATTGAACAAAAACAGCAACAGGCGTCAATCGCCATCGTCGTCATCATCATCTTTTTTTTGTCATTTTTGTTAATCCATTTTGGATTGGAAAATAGTCTCCTTTTTTCCATAATTTACATCATCAAAAATACCACGACGACAATATTGATTAACTTCAAATTTCCAATCGTTGATAGGTTTATGGAAAAATTTAAGTTCTACCAAAAATGTTTCATACATTCCAATCATTTATGTGACGATAATCTATAATCGTTTATTGTTTATTCATTTTTTTCGATTGAAAATTTAAATTTTGCTTTATTTCAACTAACAACGACAAAAACGACAATCGACGCAAATCAATTATATGAAACAAAAATTCAATCATCATCATCATCATCATCATCCAAAAGGACATTGATTGTTTGTAGTCAATAGCAAACATCAAACAATAGATTTTTGTTTTTTGTTTTGTTTTCTCACGATTTTTTATGGCCATAATAATGACCATGATGATGACGATGATGATCACAATCGGAATCGATAAATACGAAATAAAACAAAACAAAACAAAACAGGCTTTCAAACAATAAAAAAAATGTTTTTTTTGTGATTTGATCACATCAATCAAATTTATTCTAATACAATGATGATGATGGTGAATTAAAAGAGAAAAAAAAATAAAAAAAAATCGATAACAATAATGACAATACACACGTATTTATTACAATGATGATGATGATGATTAAATCGATATGATAATCGATAATGTCTTGGAATCGATTATTTCTTTATTGTTTGGGAACCAAATAAAATGACATTTCAATATCATTCATTTTTATTATAGTCAAAAACACACACACACACACACTTACAAGATGAAAATGTACCGGAAATTATTATTATTAATTTTAATTTTCTCCCTTACCTCCCATCTACTACCACATTTCTTATTCTTTATTATCAATAATGTTTTTGCGTTTACTTGATTCTGACATTCAAACGCAAACACAAACACGAATACAATTGAGTTTTATTTTCGATCAAAAACGAAGTAAATATCACTTGTTGTCGCCGTTTGTGATGAAAATGATTGAGAGAAAAAAAAGGATTGAATCAATAAACAAACAAATGAAAAACGGCTGTCATGGCTGAAGATAGTATTAGAGAAAAAAAATTTTCATTTCTTTTTCACCGAAAAGAAGAGAGAAAAAAAATAGAAAATCCAATTCCAAATTCTTTGTTATTCGAATTTATCATCCGGAACTTCTTTTGTTGTCCAGAATTTGTTTATTTTCATTTTGTGTATTTTCGCAGTATTCACATTCGCATTATCATCATCATCATTTTCTTTAACGTTTATTTTTTTTTTCAATTTTTCATTTGACTTTCGATTTATTTGTCATTCAAATTTTATGTTTATTTGTTGAAAATTTTCTAGTTGTTGTAGACTAACAAAAAAAAAATTATATGATGAAGCAAATGAAATAAAAAAAAACTTTATTCCATTGAACATCTTTCAAAAACAAACACACACACACACGCACGCAAAATGTTGACAAATTTTTAAAAAAAATTCAAAAATTCCAAGAAGAAAAATCGAAAAAAGTTTTTTTCTTCATCTTAATTCGTCTGGATGACATCATCATTATTTGATGTTGATGATTACATATGGATATAGGAAAAATAAGTGTCACACATAGAGAAAACTAATCTCAATGTCATGTATGACACACACACACACACAGAGATAAACACAGAAATGAATGATACCATTAATATAATTCGGATATAAAAATATCAATATTACATATGTGAAAATGATCAATAATCATCATCATCATCGTTATGAGCCCTAAAGGGCCATCCATATACGATGATGATATTTAATTTGATTTTTTTTGTTTGTTTGTTTGATTATTATTTTGGTGACCGTGATGATCATTAGTGTTTTGAATATATGGTTTTGTAAAATTTTTTTTTTATTTTCATTGATTTTAATCTAGCTATTATTTTTTTTCACTTTTTTTTTTTTTTGGACTTGAAAAAATTGTTTGCCCTTCGCCAATGTGTGATGTCTCTTGTATCTCCCCACTGAATAAAACACACACACACACACACAGGTGGAAATAAGTGTTACGATAATGAAAATGAAATGAAAAAAAAAGTCAGGAAGTCATTTTTATTGATAAATATATGTTACTTAATGTATAAAATACAAAACAGGGGAAAGGAAAAAAATCAGAAAAAAAGTTTTTTTTATTTCTATGCTAAAATGATGTGTCCTGTCAATGGCCAAATGACCGTCAATCCAAATGGCTCATCATCATCTCTTTTTTACACATGTGATGTTTTGTACAGTGTGCAATTTTTTTTTTTCTTTCTTTCTGAGTGTTTTTTCTGTGTGTGTGTAGTTCATCATCATCATCATGTTAACCGTGACTGACTGACTGACTGACTGACATTTTGATATTTGAACCTTGCTTTTTTTTCATTTATTGATCAAAATCTATTTAACAACAACAACAACAACAACAACAAAAAATTATATCATCAAAAAATGAATTTTTCATTCATGATTTAAATTTTTGGCCCAAAATGTCAAAATCTTTTTTTGAGGATTAAACATACAGATGATGATGATGATGATGATGAAATTCATTCAGGAACAAGAAAAAAGAAAAAAAAACAAATTTCAATGCCAAATCTCAATGTGAGAGATATATGTCACATTTTTTTTCCTGTTTCAATATATTTAGGAACAAAAATATTGATTAGTGAATGTCATTCACCAATATTTTGCTGTTTGTTTATCTGTTTTTGTAGTACCGGATATGCAAACAAAAATAGAGAGAGAGAGAGAGAGAGAGAGGAAAACGAACAAATATTTTTCACATTTGATTAAGAAAGACAACAACAACATGGTGGTTAGATTTCTTAATTTGTGTGCATTTTCAATGGCAATATTAATTTTTAATGGGCCAACATAATACTTGATTATTACCTAATCAACGTTTCCAAATTGTAGATTTTTTTCATGCCGCATTTTGAATCGGAATGAAAATTTTTTTCCGCTCGAAAAAAATTCTGGAGAAAAATCCAGAATTTTACATTAAATCCAGTACACGCCGCTTGTTTGATTGTTGATGGATATAATTATATAGAAGATTTTTCTGCATATCTAAATATTCATTGTATCGATCAAATGGATATCGATAATTGATTGAATAAATCAATTATTTTAAAAAATTAACTCATTGGTCACGATTTTGGCCAACTTTGATGAAATTGAATATCTCATTTCATCATTATAATAGATAATCCAGAAAAAAAAATTTTTGATGATAAATTCTGCAAACAGAAATGAATGAATGAATGATCAGATGGAGAGAAAAAGGCAGAGAAAAAAAATGTTTGCACAAATGTAGTAGGCATCATCATCATCATCATCATCATCATCATCAATCAACATAATTAGCTATAACAACATGTTATTGTCGTTGTTGCTGTTGTTGTTGTTGTTGTTTTTATTGATGTTGTACATTTTTATATTCTCTGGCTCTTTCTCTGTACACACAAACACACACTTTTACTATAAACTAATTTTATCGCTTGGCCAGTCAAACATAATTGTCAATTGTTATTACTATCATTTATCATCATCATGTAACTCATCGGATGATTCGTATGATATCGTTTTTTTTTGTTTTATTTTGTTTTTGTCAATGTTTGTTTGTCATCATTCATTCATGTGTGTTTTTTAACTAGAAATCAAAAATTGTCAATGTTGTAGTCATAGTTGTTGTTGTTGTTGTTGTTTTCGTATTCATATTCATTTGAAATGTTTATTTGGACAAGAAACCGTATAAAGAATGAAAGGGAAAAATATCGTTACGAAATATTCTGTTTTGTTTTCGTTAAAATAGTAACACAGAGAAAAATTCTTGCATTCAGATTCGGATGATGACTGCGATTATCAGAATTTATGCGTCACAGTTAAAACAACTTGAACACATATCATCATCATCATCATCAGTGCTAATCAAGGTTGGTTTTGAGAAAAAAAAATGACTAGACAATATGTCTTCACACAGTTTATTAAGACGGAAAAATTAACAAATCAAATGGTCGATCCTGTTTCAAATTTAGTTCCATTTTTTGTTTCACTTTTTCTTTTTTATTTATTACAATTTTTGTCCTCAACATCATTTTTTCCTTTTTTTTGAGCAGTTTTTTTTATCCCATTTTTGCACTTTATAATCATCGTCATCATCATCTTGTTTGTACTTGACCATATATATTGTAATAAACCCAAAAAAGTGAATGATTTGCTAGATAGATGGGTGTGTATTGCTTTTTTTTTTTTGTTTTGCTGTGAATGTTTTTCATGTTTTTGACATATCTATTTATCTATCCATGGATGGTGATGTCCACGAATTTTTTTCTATTATTTATTTTTTTTTATTATAAAACAAGAAGCATATTTGTGTCAACATTTTATGTCTTTTTGCCTTCTTTTTTCGTGATGTCCATCGTGTTTTTTTTTCTATCTTCACCGTCCTTATTCATTTGTTCATTTTGTATTAACAACATGATACTTAAATAAAAAAAAAATATGAAAAATGGGATCAAAGCAAAAAAAGACAGACAGACAGAGGGAGAAAGCCTGTGTTTGTGTGTCTTGTATCAAGTAATTCGATGAAAACAAGTTGTCTGTCAGCGACAGCAGCAGTAGCTGTTATTATTTTTCTCGAAAAAAAAAATCTCAATATAATTCGTGTATGCTTGAAAGAAAAGAAAACAAATTCATGAAACAAAATGAAATTTTTGTCAAACAAAAAAAAAAAAAAAATAAAACAAATATCCGCATCATTCAAAAACAACAACAACAACAAAAATTCCAAACAATTGATCGACATTTATCATCAGAAACGAATCGAATACCAGAAATCAGATTTTTTTTTGTTGATAAAAATAAATGATAACCGATTGACAAATCAGACCAATGGAATAATGAAAAAGCAAAGAATTTTTGTTCTAATAGAAACGAAAAACAAAAAAAAATTCCGATTCAATTTTTGATAAATTGAGAAAAATTACGACCTTATGGCCAATTCATGATGATCATCATGTCTGGTGAGGATTGAATTGGTGAAAAAAGATGGAAAAAAATGGCCAATAAATATTGCGTAGCAAAACAAAATTTTTGTATTTCATTTCATCATCATGTGATTAATTTTTTAAAATAAAAAACTTGAACAAATTCCATTCCATGTTCATCCATCCATTCAAATGATTGAGGAAAAAAAATCCTTTCAATAGCATCAACAGTAAATGTCTTTTGGAATGGAATAATTTTACAATCAACAACAACGATATAACATTGAATAACAACTCAATCGAACAAATTGGACAAACAACAACAACCAGAACAACCAGAACAACTAGAACCGAAATTCATTTTTGTTTAGATTCAGATGTTCATCATTAAATCATTAATCTTGCAATTATAGTTCTGGAACTGTTTTTTTTTCTTTGATTTATTAACCATATGTGTGTATCCATCACGAATTGGGAATCATCTGGGATTTGGAATGATAATTTTTTTCGTTTTATTTTGCTAAAATCCCAAATCGATGTCAAGTATGGAGATGATCATTATCATCATGTGTGTGTGTGTGTTTAGAATTTTGACAAACAAACAAAAAATAAACAAAACCGGGTAATGTTATCACATTTTACCGTTGTTGTTGTCGTCGTCGTCGTCGTCGCTGTAAACACTAACCGATTACATACAGCCACTCACTCTTTTTCATTTATTCTGTCTTGTTTGTCGATTCGATTGGTTTTGTTTTGCAAAAAAAAAAAAAAATAAATTGTATATAAAGGTGGAAATTTTTATTGACAGAATGTTGTTGTTATTGTCAATTGGCTATTTTCATTTATCGATTCTTGAAATTTGAAAACAAAAATCAATGGCTTCATCTAACAGTCATTGTTGTTTTTTTTTTTTTTTTTAAAACACCTGAGAAAAATATTGTATTTTCAACAAAAACAAACGTAAAATATAAAATTATCATCATTTCTTTTTCGTCATCTGACAGATAAGAAAAAAAAATAAAGAAACCAAAACAAAACAAATTCCCGAATGGTTCCGGCCATTCATTCATTCAATGACAAACAAACAAACAAAAAAATAATGAAATTCAATTATGTTCATGAAAAGAAGGTTGAAAAGCAAAAAAATTAATATGTAACAAATGTGTGTGTGTGTGTGTGTGTGTTTTAAATAGAACAGTGAAATGTGAAATTTCAAAATTCAAAGCAAAGCAAAAGAAATTTGTAATGGCCAATAAACAGCAACAACACAACCATGATATGAATGTTGATTCAGTGTTTTTTGTCCTCTTGCTGTTTCTAAATGTGTGTTGTGATGCAATGCGTGCGTGTGTGTGTGTGTGTGTGTGAATATTCAATTTTTTTTTGGGTACAGATTCATTGTGTAAAAAATTTGATTCATTATTTTTTTTCACATTGTAAAGAATCAAATTTTCAATGAAATAAAGAGAGTGAAAATAGAGAGCGAGAGTGAGAGAGAGAGAGAGAAAAAATGACCGAGAAATTTATTGATTGATTGATTTAGGTAAACATGTTGCTTAGATAATGAATTATGATAATAATAATATTATTATGATGAATAATGGGAGAAAAAATCATTATTTTTTTTTTTTTTTTTGTTGGACATGAATATGAATAAAATGAATATAATCATAATGGGAATTTGATTGGAAATTTTTTTTTTCGTTTCGTTTGTTTGTTTGCCTGTTTAATTTAATCATTTTATTCTGGGTGATATGCATTGTTGATGATGATGATGATGATGATGAATAAGCATTAGATTTTTGGATGGATGAAAAACCATGTCAAAAGAATTGAATTTTAATAAATGAATTGTTGCTGTAGTTGTTTGGTTGAAAAAAGATCATTTTTTCAATACAATTTCCGTCGTCCGTTTTTTCATCATCATACGTATCATTATAGGCTTGTTGTTTTGGTCAATATATGGCCACTTTGACTGTCCTAGATGAAAATTTTAACCAATTTTTTTTACAAAGTTTGATGAATGATAATTACAATTACATGAATGACATATAAATAGAATAATAATAATAATATTTGTGTGTGTAAAATGAAAGGAACAATTGAAACAGAAACAGAGAAAAAAAATCAATATTATATCACAGGTGGTGGTATCATGTAATAATGGAACAACAACAGCAAAAAAAAAACGATGGAACGATGATTATGATTAATAAAAAAAAATTTTTTCATTAATTATATTCATCAACAGGAACCAGAGAAAAAAAAATGAAAAATTACAATACAAATTTAATTATCATATATATATTCATGTGGGTTTGTTGTTGAGGGTGTTTGTAATTTTATTTTTGTGTGTGTGTGTGATTGTGTGATTGTGTGAGTGGGTGATGAATGGATGAAAAAAAAAATAATGATGATGAAAATTAGTAAGAAAGTCAAGTTGTTAGGTTGGCGATAGTAGTAGTTAGTTCGTTTTTTTTGAAAATGTTCAATCCAAGCAGAGGCAGAAACAGAAACAGAAATAGCGAAGCGAAAAATGATTTTTTTGGTTATAAAGCGCCAGCAAGAAATTTTGCCAAATAAAATAATGGGATGGCGAATGGAAAGAGAGATAAAGATATGAAATAGAAAAAATGAAACGAGAAATAAAAAAAAAATTAAAATTACAAATTGAATTTATCAAATCTTCCTAATGTTGTACAAGTTAATATTCTTTGTGGGCGTGTGTATGTAATTGTTGTTGATATAATAATTGAAAACAAAAAAAAACGAAAACAAATGAAAATTCTCTAAAGTTTCTTTGTGTTTTTTTTTTTTGAGCATTTCTATTTCTTTTTGCTTCTGTATTTTTGTTTTTTTAGGATCATACTTTAGTATTGAGATCGATTGAATTAATCAAACGGAATCCAGGCGTTATACTTGTTTCTCGTGATCGTTGTTGACTTGAATGACAACAGGCAAATATATAACGTTTAAAATGTGAACGAAATACACCACTTATACAGCATAATACGATCGGATTTAGGCAGGAATTCAGAAATGATAATACAAATCCAATTATACGCCAAACATGCCAGAATGTATTATAATTTTCATTGGAATTTGTATTAAAATGATACCAAAACATGAAAACCTAGATTTGGGAAATTACAAAAAAAAGAATATGAATTGATTATTGTTTCTTGATCAATTGAAAGAATAAGTAAAAATTAAACGTACATGATTGGGAAAAAAACAAATGGCAAATATAACAACCAAACCAAGTACAATGCGTGATATTTTTCGTCGATTTTTCAATAATTTATGGTGTGAATCATTATTACAGACAGGATTTTCTGTTGTACGTATTAAACTACGTGCCATTAATGAATAGAATATTGTGATGATAATCAATGGTATTGCATAATAGCAAAGAAATTTGATCATCACAACTGTTTTTGGATACCAATCGCCTAATTGTGATGGAAATGGATAACAAACATTTATTGTATGTTCATCATTAACGGCCACTTTCATTATGAATGAATAATAAGCTCCAGGTATGGCTAATAATGCTGAAAGTAGCCAAATGAAAGTATTGGCCTGTGTTAATGTTGTACGTCCTTTATGTGATAGATAACGTATTGGATGATGGGTTGCTGTATACCGTTGTACACTTAAACTAGTCAATGTAAACACTGTAACACCAATAGAAAGATCACGTGCAAATTCACTTATTTTACAAACAGCCAAACCATATGGCCATGATTCAAATGTATAAATGGTACTAACAAATGGTACCGTTATTAATATCATGGCTAAATCACCAATTGCTAATGATAATATATAAACATTAGCTACAGTACGCATTGATTTATGTTGATAAAATATATAAATTACTGTGCCATTACCAATGGTACCAACAACAAATATAAAGAAAAATATAATGGGCACTATATATGTTTCCGGTCGACTTTCATATGGTATATAATCACCGCCACCACTACCGCCACCAATGTTATAATCAATGCTATCATTATTATGAATTGATGATGTTAATGATAATAATAATGTTTCATTAACGTTATTATTATTGTCATTGAATATTTCACTGCCACCATCAACATTTATGGTAAAGCCATTATTATTATCACTCAAATTTATTGTTGCTGTTGTTGTTGTTGTTGTTGATAAATCTTGCCATTCATTGAATAAATTTTGAAAACTATTCATCATACTATTTCCATTATTATTATCATTATTCATATTGAAACCAATATCCGGATATGATCGTTGTTGTTCAAGATGATTATGATTAACAAGATGATGAGGATTATTATTATTATTATTATTATGATTATGATGATGGTGTTGATGATTATGATGTAAATTGGAATAATGATGGTGATGATAAGATGATGATAATGATGGATATGATTGTAAAAATGTTGATTGATTCGTATTTATATAGGTTGTCATCATGTTCATGGCTGATGAATTGTTAATAAGCTCCATGTTGATTGATATTTGATGATGTGGGATGCTTCATTTTTTTTTTTTTTTTTTTGCAATTAATTTCATACACATGCACACAAATTGAATTTTAATTGAATTCAACGCAGAATAACAACACACTTGTTCACTCATCAACCAGAAAAAAAATAAATGAAAGCAAAAAAAAATTTCTGGTTGTTGTTGTTCAATTATTGGAAACCAATTGAGATCGATTGATAATCGGATAATTAATGAGAATTTCAGAATGAATTGGCCACTCAATTCATGCTGAAAATGGATCTTATGTCGAAACAATAATGATGTTGTTGATGATAAAGATTCGATGAATTATTTTTTTTTTATTTTGGTCTGCCAATTCTGTCTTATTCTGCTGTATGAGAATGTATAAATTTGGCATGCCGATCGAATTGAGAAAAAGAGAGAGAGGGAGAGAGAAAATAATCGTTAGATAAGACTCGATTAGTTTTTATTTGGGTCATATCTTCTTTTTTCGTTTGTGCCCATCCTTACACAATGTTCACTCTGGCAAAATTCTTATTCGGAAATATGAAAAAAAATTGATGAATAGATTCGATAAACAAAATTTTCAGTTTTTTTTTCGGCCGATAAAAAATCAATTTGATTTTGGCACTAAAAATAAATTTGATAAAGTTAAATTTCATTTCGGGTAAAGTCAGTCAATCAATTGACGTTTTTTTTTCATTTTATTTTCTACATTTTTCGGGTAATAATAATAATCGATTTTTGTTTCTTTTTTTCTGTTCTCTCAAACCATACGCGAAAATAACCATTTCAAGTTTGTCTTTGTGTACAAATGGCAAGGACAAATGAAATGAATGAACTTGATTGTGTTTTCACACTCACACACATACACACAGTGGTAATAAAATCAACAAACTAGATAAAATTAAAAAAAAAATAGATAATTTCCCGAAAATGTCAACGATTCTTTTTCGTCAACGAAAAAAAAATAAAATAAATAAAATGCTTACGTAAATACTGAATGGGTGGATAACCAATTTTGGATTATCAATTTTATTATTATTATTACGATTTCTATTCTCACTTTCTCACTCTATTTCTATTTTTATTTTTGTTTAATGCTGGATCATCATGGAATCGAAAACCAATGATTCATTTTCGCAATTTTTTTTTCCAGTGCTGTTTTTGTATTGTCAATGACAGTAAGTTAAGTGAGTGGAAAAAATAATTTTTTTTTTATTCTTTTTATTCTCAGAAAAAAAACAATTTATCATTTTCTATGTTTTCATCAATTCTTTGGAATTAAAGCGAGGGGGGGAAGGGAAAAAAGTTTCAATTTCAACCTTTCTGACAATGTATCATTTTTTTTGTTCTATTTTTCTTCATATTGAATTGCCATTAACGAGAAACTGAATTTGTTTCTTTTTTTTTTTGCTTGACTGGCAAACAAACAAACCAAAATAGTAAAATGGTGTTGTGATTGAGTGTAGCGCGTCAGACACAATTCATTTTTTTAAATTTTTTTGTTTTGTTTTGTTTATTTATGTTAATAAGTATAGTAGTTCCTATATCAGAAATGATAAATGTATTTTTCTGCATAACGTTTTATATGAAGAGAAAATCGGGCACACTGGTATGTTTGATATATTCCGGAAATAAAATAATTAAAATAAAATTTCTTTTTCAAAAAACTCAAACTATTCATTTGTAAAAACAATCATTCAATTACCCGCAAGGTATTTTATATAAGAAATCTTTCTCACTCACTCATTTTATCATTTTTTTTACATTTTTTTTGTTATAAAAAGTTCTCCATGTCTGTTTGGCTGTGTGTTTATGTTTTTGATGTGTGAAATTTTTTTGTGACAACAACAACGACAGAAAACAATAAATGAAAACATAAAAATGGAAAAGAATATTCTGGAATTGTGTTGAAATATTTATTTGTCATTTGATTTCCTGTTGAATATATATAGTTTTATTTCTCTCTCTCTCTCTATGTCTAAAGTTAGAAAATATAAAATTCTGTAGAGAATTATAGTGTTTCTTCCTATTCACAAAACATATATCCACAAAGACAGACAGATTGATTCATATCAATTATCAAGCCAATCACACAATCAACATCATCTGAAAGAAAAAATGTTTGGCTAAATTATTGAAAAGTTTTATCATATTTAAATCACCATCATCGATGAATTCATAAAACTTGGTTTCTGCATAGAAACAGACAAATAATAATGATAACAATCAATCCATAAGGAATAAAAATCTAAGTATCAACCAATCCTATCAGAATTTATTCACGATTCTATTCACGATTGATATTTCTTTGAAAAATGCGAGATTTAAAAAAAGAAAAACATTCTAAAAAGAAGAAAAAAAATTCAAATTTCAAAGCATTTTTTTCTCTTCTTTTTTTTTTTTTTATTTGTGTATTTAACTACAACAACTACAATTTAACCCCTTGAGGACATTATTTTCATTCAACAATTTATATCATCTTTATATTTCAAATCCTAAATTTTCTTGTCAATCGTTTTTTCTATTCTATATTTAAAATGGAAAAAAATAATGAAGAAATTAAAATAAAAGAAAAAAAAACCTAAAAATAACAATCAACGACAATCAAACATTAACAATTTTCTTAAAATGACAAATGACAGAATTGTCAAATTGGCAAATAATAAATTAAACGTGATTGTATTGTGTCGTAGGCGTATTCTAGCAGTTCATTGTTATGCCCGTTGGGAATAATACACCCAAAATAATGTAACGAAGAAATAGGATATCAGGATGTGGAATTTAATTCCTCATTCTTTGAAATGTCGTTTTTTCTCCTTTTTTTTCATTCATCGAGATGTTTCTTTCACATTTTTTTTTAGAATCAAACAATCCGTTCCTTATTATTTTTTTTTCATTGTGCCCTACATTGATTTGTTGATCTCATTCACATTCTGATCGACAAATAATGAATTTGACATTGTAACAAACAAGAAAGAAAAAAAACAATTTTTCAATCAATTCTAATGATTAATTTGCACTGAATGAATGAATGTGGTGTTGATTTAGCAGGATGGATGAGATCAAAAAAAAAAAAAAATAGACTTATCACCAAAACAAATCTAGGAGATGAAAAATGTGTTTGAATCAAATGAAAAAAAAATATTTACCATCGAATCAAGTACAAAATGGTATCAAAAAAAAATTGGATAGATTCAAACACACAAACATTCACGTAATCAAACACAAACAATGAAAACAACAAACAACAAAGAATCAGATATCAGGCACACAAAATGAAATTGAATTGAAAAATATTTATTTTATTATTTTGTTTTCAATCTCGAAAATTTACTCAATCACAAAAAAATCAAGAGAAAAAAACAAATCAACACACACACACACACACACACACAAACACACGCAATGAAATTAAATTGAAATTTCACACTTTTGAAACTAAACTAAATCATCATCATACTGTGATAATCAGTACATAGAAACAAGAATTGTGTACAGTGGGGAAAAAAAATTTGAATCAGAATAATTCGTGTAATCGTCAATTGTTGTTGACGATAAATAATTGCCATATATACTGGTGGTTTGATGAGGAGTTATTTTTTTTGCAGAAATGGCAAAAATGGCCATAATTAAGAAAAATAGACAAACAAACGCCCATTTATTGACATGATATAAATAATGGATGAATGAATATGTCATCATATGAAGTGGATATTTTTATTTTCATTTTTTTTATATGATGATAATGTTTTTGTCAACATTTTTTTTCAAGTATAAACTATTTTTGTCTGTTTTGGATCTATGTATATCGATCCCAATTTTCATATGATGATCATGATGATGAAATTGAACGATCGATAATTTGATGAGAATACGAAAAAAAAACAATTAAAAATATCATTAGATTTGTTAAATGAAGGTAATAATGTCATATTGAATGAAAGAGAAAAACACTTTCGCAATCATGTTGAATGGAGAGAAAAATTCAAATTCATTATCAAATTTGTTTGATTTCATAATTTTATATTCGATAAACTTAACATTTAACAGTAAAAAAAATCAGCTTGGATTTTCCCAGGAAAAAAAACACATGACAACATTTATGATGTGAATACACATTCATCCGGTTCGATTTTTCTCTATTATTTGTAAATCCAGAATTTTTTTATAATTAAAAAAAAATTTTCATGAAAATGAATGAAGCTGATTATTTCAAATTTCTATTCAACGACAATAACAACAACAACAAATTATTCATACATTTGACATTTTGATTTATGCAAAACGTCGTTTTCGTTGTTGTTGTTGTTGTTTTTGTTGTTTTACGTAAATCAATTAAATTTATAGAGAGAAAGAAAAATTTTTGATTATAATAAACATTACAAACATTTAATAACAATCATCATCATGACCTTCAAATTCAAATCTTAATCCTAATAATTAATTTTGAATTGAATTTTTTTTTGTTTTTTTTTTTGCAACCGGCTATAAGGGGTCGTTAATGATGATGATGATGATGGAACAAAATAGGAAAAAAATGTAAAAATGTTGCTTCAGGCCACAATTATCATCATTAACATCGTCATCTTATCCGTTGAAAATTTATTATCTATAAAGAATATATACATGAATGATTGAATTCCAATGAAATTGGCTAAAACGAACGAAAATTCTATTTGGATATTTTTCAAATTTCATTTTTTTCAATAAAAATGTACTTGAATGAATCAAAAAAAAAAACATTG